ATCATAACTACGCGCTTTCTTGATCATAATTATTATGCAGCCCCGGCTGGTGCACATGTGCAGTAATTAAGAAGAGCTTGATCCAGGTTTGTATGATATTAAAGAACATTATGAGTTGGAAAAAACCGGAGCCAAATATTGGAAAAAGTTTTCAGTTTTATTTGAGGCTTATAAGTGTCAGATAAACGGTTTTGTAAATTTGACGTTCAAGTACGCAGTGAAGACCGTAACTCTGTTGTTGAAATATATTCTCGAAACGGTGATCTCTGTTGTTGAAATATGTTCTCGAAACGGTGATTTCCAAAATTTCTGCGCACAACTTGGTGAGAATCCGCGTATACCAGGCCGCATTGCAGTACTCAACTTGGATGCCACCTATTCAACGCGATCAACTGACTATCGAGCGATGGATGACAACAATCAAAAGAATTTTGAATTTGAACCAAGCGTTTTCATTGGACGAATCTTTTAAGCTGTCATTGCAGTATACAGATACACCAATTGGCTCATGCAGAAAAAACGTCTCCCGGTTGTTGCGGCAAATTTTGGACAGAAAACGGTGCGTCACTCAGATTCGAAACTCGGACAGTTTATGTATGGCTAGAGCAATTGTGGTCGCTAAACCGCATGCGGATGGCGATAAAGAATTTTATACAAAGCTCTACCAAACCAAGAAACTGCAGGATGCAAAAACCAAAGAATTGCTGCGAGCCGCCCGGTTGCCAAATAGAGAATACAGCTTGGAAGACATTCCTCGGTTTGAAGAAGTTTTGCCGATTTATCAGATTATTGAAGTATCTGGCGATGATGGAAACTCAGTTGTCTACTATGGTGCGTATGCTAAGAAGCAGCTTATTTTGCTTCATCATGACCGGCATTTTGATGTTCTGACATCTTTGCCTGCCCACTTTGGGCATCACTACTACTGCTACCGTTGCATGAAAGGCTACAATCATCGAGAAGACCACCGGTGTGAGTATAAATGTTACCAATGTCTGTCTGCGGTATGCAAGATGCAAAAAGATTCAAAATTTCATTATTCGGACAGTAATCGCGACTTTTATGGCCAAGAATATTTTAAAGGCACGAGTCAGGAACCAGTCCAATCTGTTCGAAGTATTTTGTATGTGGAACAAGCAAATCTTTCGTTTCTCTTGTGAGAATTCAAATGCGGACTAATTACGACGCACCTCAAGATACCCAATGAGATGCTAACAACAGCGATGACGACAAAAACGAACCGGAAATTGAACTGGATATTTACGATCAGCAACATCGTTGTGGGGAAGTAAATTGCGCGACCTGTTCACATGCCGGAAGAAAACCATGTCTGCTGTATGCAGCTCATCGAATTAACGAATTAACGAATTAAAGCAAAACATCTAAATGAAAAATTTGCTTACTTCGACCTCGAAACCTATCAAAATGATACAGGTGAATTCCGAGTGAATCTAGCAGTCATCGCCACCAAGGATGAGAGGTTTGTGCTCCCTGAGGATGGAAACATAAATGGTGACGTCGCAAGTGCTCTTGGGGATTTCATTTTCAGCGAACGTTTTCAGGGATACGCTTTTATTGCGCATAATTTGAACGTAAAAAACATCAAAATTAACAGCAGCAGCAGCTCATTTTTAACCGATTGATATGTTTTTGTTTCAGGGGTTTGAGGGGTATCTTCTGTTAAACTATTTAGTGAAAAATGGCGTTATTTCACACCCATTGATTTTCAGTGGTAGTAAAATTATGCAAATGGATTTTAGCAAACTCAAAATTAAATTTCGAGATTCCATGAACTACGAGCCACCGTCACCAAAGAATTTCGCGAGGGCGTTTGGTTTGCAAGAAACTAAAAGAGATTTTCCACACAAGCTAAATGAACCCGAAAATTGGAACAAGATCATCCCTTGGCTAGATCGGCATGACTACGGTTACCAATCCATGAAAAGATGCGAGCGCAAACGTTTCATAAAATGGCTTCGCAAGGAACGACGCCGTCATCACAATCAGTTTGATTTTAATGCACACTTCATCAAGTTTGTCCAATTTTTATTTATTATAATATTTTCGCCATATTCAGTTATTTTGCAGGTACTGTTCCCAGGACGTTCTCGTACTACAACAAGCATGTGGGACATTTCGAATGCTTTTTCAACAAGTATCTGGTGGATTGTGCCCATTTGCTTCTGGCCTTACAACGAGCTATTTTTGGAGAGGGCAAATGCTAAAGGAGAACCAAATTGCTTTAATCGGTCCACCAGGACAAGGAACAAAATCATCTGCAAAAGCAGAACGTTGGCTACGATCGATAGAATTGGATAACGATTCAAAACTGGAAAGAGAATTTCGAATCGAACACTGGACCGTTGATGGTTTTCATTCAGAAACCAAAACGGTCTACGAATTTTTAGGTCTGTCACATGATATTACGTTTTATTAGTTGTGACGTTTTACATTTAACGAAACATTATATCTGTCTTTAGGATATATGTGGCACGGCTGCGGCGACTGTACCACGAAAAGCACAATGCACTCGTTTATTGGTAAACCAATGGAAGAAGTTAAGAAAGCGTCTGTTTTGCGGCTTGATGCAATGAAAACTTTGGGATACACGCTTGTATCGATTTTGGATCACGGTTACGACATAAGATTTGCAGCTGACAGTGAGTTTCGAAAGCTAACTGAGCTCGCCAACGTCGGGAAGCCGCTGCATCCGCCGGACACTTTTACTGGCGGCCGAACAAATGCAGTAAAACTTTACCACAAATGCGGACCAGGGGAGAAAATTTTTTCGCTTGACGTTATTAGCGAATATCCATACATCAACAAAAATTTGCCATATACATTCGGGTTTTGGTTCGTTAGAGATAGCATTTTCTATATTCACAAAGACGAACTGCCTGACCCACCAACGGGAACTTGCCTCGGCGACTTGTCATCATCGTTGGAACCTAACGAGCACATAGAAGAATTTTTGGCGCTTGGTAAATCATTTACTACCAATATTTAATGATTCTTGAGTACTATACATGCGTATTACTTTACTTTATAGGAACCAAAAGCTAAGCAAATCGTACTAACACTGGTCACGAAACAATAAAAGTGAAAGGATTTACGTTAACGCGCCAGGCTAGAAAACAACTGAATCTGGAAAGCTTGAAAGAATTGCTACTGGAAAGCCTTGCACCGCAGGATGAATTAAGCGATATTATTCGTTAACTATCCCTTCAACATAACGCGGAATAAGCGCAAGTTGGAGGTTCTGTCTACGGAAATGAATAAGCGCTCCAGACTTGCCTACTCAAAACGTCGAATTGTCGACACCGAGGTTCAATCTCGTCCCTGGGGTGATGTTTACGGAGAATAGGCCTTCAATTTCCAGTACCGTACAGTTGTTAATAACAGTTTTAATATTATGGCTAATTTTAGAAAATGCTTCCAGCAATATTATTAGAATCAGCATGATGGCAATGCAGGAGCCAATTGCTGCCTCGCAGAAGTTCTTTTTGCACACAATGCGAGCCATCTTAGCAAAACTATGTTCTGGTAATGGGTTTGTTTTCTTTGCAGATTGTGTCTTTAATAGTTACTTCAATAGAAAAGTTACAATAAACATCGCAACTAAACTCTAGTTGAAGATGTGTGAATAAATGCGCATACCAATAAGTTCCATGCAAATTGCGTTGAATCTATAATTGTACAGTATATACAGTGTACAGTGTACGAACTTACTGATTCATTAAGTAGAACTGGGAACTATAGTTATAAAGTCTAACCGGCAGTGCCGCTCCACGCGGTGAAGGAATATAAACAACCTGTGCACTTCTATACAGTATACATATGTAGTAATCATATGCTCAGTTGTGCTGAATCATATGCTGCAGTTGGGAGCTGTAGGTATAAATTGCAACCAGGAATTGATACTGGAAAGTCCAGCCCCCCACTCCAGTTTATGACGTAACCGACGCCATTTTTAAATAACTGATGAGTCATATCTACTTATGTAGTATTGATTTACTACTAAATCAGTTGCGTTATAAAAGTTTAGCAATCGCGTCGTTTCTCGCTTTCTATAGCGTAGCCGCTATTTAGCATTGCTCAGCTTCTTCGGTAGGCAGAATCCCGTTAATTCTGTTCTACGGCGTAAACCCTCCCAAATTCCCGCTGTATAATATGGCGAACGGCAAAAGCTGAAATCTGAGCGCGAGTCACTTGGAGCATACCCTCACCACTCCACTCGCCAGACCACGTACTGAACCAGAGGTTGCCCATCTCCATTTTATTATGGGAATGGATCCCATTTTTCCCCATTTACCATTTTTCCATACTAAAATGGTATGGATGGGGAAACTGTATTTATGGATGGAGATGGATGGGAAAAACGAAGAAATGGGCGGAAATGGGAAATTTAGAAAGTAGGGCAAAAATGACGAATTAATACATTTCTACAACTATTTTGGTTGGCAAAATTCATAAAAATCCCCGAAACCTTCGCGCTTCGCGCGAAGATTTACGAAGGTCGTAATATTTTACACGTTAGGATCGAGAAAATTTTGGCAAAAACAGCGCTGAATTCTCGCTTTCCGTGAATAGCTGACTGCCAACGAGGTATTTCGTAAGCCGGCGTCAAGCAAGGTTTTGGTTGTACGTTGTAATTTTATTTTTAAAAAATGGGGCGCTGAAATGGGGATGGAAGGAAATGGGTCTGATCCAAAAATTATGGAACGGAGATGGGTGGGAAAAATTGTAAGAAAATGGGGTATGGATGGGATATGGAAAAAGCAGAAATGGGCAACCTCTGTACTGAACTATACATGGCGGTGGTCAGCCTTTAAAATGGAGAATTTTCCAACCAATCGGCTGACAAACTACCGTGACGTCACAATGAGGAAAAACCCAAACACACTGAACCGCACAGGCGCACACTCACTGCACACGTGAAGCTGCGAGCTCTCCACGTCCGGGTGAATTTGATTTCTTACTTATTCTGTGAATAACTAAGGCAGAAGCTCAACGTTTCACCGTGCTCAGTTCTCAGTGCTTTCTTCCGTCTTGATTGCTTCGTTAAACTGAATCCCCGCCGTCTTCGTGCCCGCTAGCAACGAACGGAGAATGGGCGAAGAAGCGCCATGGCCATCTTGCTTACGGCCCTCGCGCTCACGGTACGCAGTGTCGGCCGCAGAAATCGCCGTTAAATTGCCAGTCTCCGAGTTCGCCGTGGGATTGGAAGAATGTCGCTGGAGCTTCTGCGATGTGTCAGTGTGTGGGAAAGTGGATGACTCGCAGAAAGCGGAGTGGATTAGCTGCCACCGTATCGTGCTGATGGCGCGTAGTGCCTTGTTTCGACGCATGCTGTCGTCGCCGATGCAGGAATCGAAGCAGGACAAAATCCCACTGGATGGTGTCACCCATAATTCCCTAAAGCAGTGAGTGCCGCGACAGTGCAGTTGCAGCTTTATCCCAGCCCGAATGAATTACTGAGTGTTTCTGACGAATTGCAGGCTGATCAGCGCCATGTACAGCGGCGAGATCACCGTGAACGGGAGTAATGCCCTGTACCTCCTGCAGGCGGCCGACTACGTGGGAATGCAGACTGTCATGGAGGCATGTAAGGCCTTCCTGCTGCAAAACGTGGGCCTTCAAACTGGTTGACCATCTACCGGGGCGCGCAGCAGCTGTCCTGCCGGGATGTGGCCGAGGAGTGCCTGGCCTTTGCCCTGGAGCATTTCTTGTCCATCAGCAAGTCGGACCAGTTCATGTTGGATGGGACTATCGCGGAGGTGTGTTGTGAAGTGTCCACGATGCTGTCACACGTTGCCGTCCCTGTTAGTTATCCTGGTCTTGTATCTGTATGTATTTGCAGATCAGTACGCTGATTCAGTCGCGGCAGCTGTTCGTGGCCACCGAAGACCAGGTGGCGCATGCTGTGCTGAGCTGGCTGAATCATTCATCCGGCCGCCACCAGCACGCGGCGGCGCTGTTCGCTCAGCTGAAACTGGGCTTCCTTTCTGCGGATTATGTGGCGGGCCTGTCTGGGCATCCCCTGGATCAACAACTACGGGAGGCCGCGTTGGCTGCCGTCAGTGGCAATTACGAGCGGCGCAGTTCATACGGTTTGTTGCAGCTCCATTCAGTGCACTTTGTCAGGATACATGGGTGCAGCAGCACTTGACAACTATTTGCTACGTTGCAGAAATGGTTGTCGTCGCGCTGGTCCACAGCTGTTGTCGCCTGGTCTTCCTTCAACCGCAGAGTGTCCACTGCTGTAGCGTCCGCTGCCCTGCGCCACCTGCACGATGCGCTATTCCGGCCGTTCACGCTGGGAGTAGTGGTGATATTGTGATAACCACTTTCCGTAGTGGCCAGACCGGACTGACAACGGAGGTGTTCCGCTATCACGCCGCCGCGGACCAGTGGGTTCCTCTGGCTCCCTGCAGCCTGTCCATGTCGAAAATGTCGTTGTTTTTCGGTGGAACGGATTTATATGCCATTGGAGAAGAAAGGTTGTATTGCCATCATGAGGAGCCGTCTCGATGGGAGGCCAGAAAGGAGAAGCCGACGCGGATAGGGGACAGCGGACATCTGGTGTATGCAGGGCAGCTGTACATTTTCGGAGGTTTAGTGGACGCACCGGGTGGTCGGTCGGCAGCCACTGACCGAGTCCTGCGTTATGATCCTTTGCCGAACAAGTGGTCAGAGTTGGCGCGGATGCCGACGGCACGTTATCGCCCCCAAGTGTGCGCGGCTTCCGATGGGCTGATCTATGTTGTGGGTGAGTAAGCAGCATATGTAGCCGTAGGATGGTAGTCCTGCCTTTCTCTCAGCGTGAGATTCATCGTACTAAATTCTCAACGACGGGGTCGGGGAGGGCCCCAAGTCCTGCATGGGGTTTCCACCTTTGATGCAGTCGTGGGCTGACTGACTGAGTAACGCCTGGTGGCTGACATTCAGTGCTTGATAGACGGCGCTGCACACCAGGGCGAATGCGCTTGTGTGGTTTCTGCTCTGCTCTCGGCTTCGTCTTGTCCAGTGTCCATCTTCGACGGACCTTCGGTGCGATCAAGTATGATAATGCACTTAGACAAAACCTTCGGCGTTGGCTGCGTACATGATGCAAGAAACCCGTCGCTTTCCATGCTACGAGTGTGATCCGGCTGCCGGTATTCAGCTGAAAGCCTGAAACTGAGCCTTGGTTGCTCGCCCTTATGCGCCGCTGGCGACGACTCCAGTGGTCATGCCGTCACAGATGGTCATCGCAGAAATTACTTGCCGTTGCATGTTTGCAGCGTCTCTCAAATTAAATACAAATCCTTGTCATAGCGGTTGAATTTGTTATTAGTCACTGCTGACAAAATCAGATGCATTACGATAAACCTTGTGTTCTGCAGGTGGATACACGGATTTTCCCACATCAGCTGGCTTGAACTGTGTGGAAGCATTCGACGTGAACGATAATAAATGGCATATTAGACGTACGTCCGCTGGTGTTCCCACTCTTGGTCGTGATGTATGACGTTTGATTTCGTATAATTTTAATCAATTTTCTTATGGATTTAGGAAACCTGACCACCGACAGAGAGACATTCGGCCTCGTCCTGTGGAATGGGCAGTTGTCCGCGCTCGGCGGTCTGGCCCGTCGGCCGGGCCAGGCCGACGCCGGCCCGTGGATGGAGCAGTACGACACCGCCTCCGACACGTGGACCGCGGCAGCCACAGCCAAACCGGCCGCGATGACTAACGGCGATGTTGGCTGCGTGGCCATTCCCCGCTTCAGCGCCTGGCTCACCGTTCTTCAGCTGCCGACGCAGGCGGTCTGGTCCAACTTTTCGGCAAGTTGAACACGCAGCAACAGGATGCGACGTTTCCAGGACGGGCGCAGCAGTGTCCGCGTCTTCTTTGCCACCACTTCTACGTACCGTGTTAACTTTTCCTCCAGACGGCTCTGTATTTCTTGACCACGGACCACTAACCACTTGAGCTTTCCTCAGATGCACCTTCGTCTGCTTTTAACAACGGGAAGGATGGGAAACTGTGAGGTTTTATTTTTTTATTTTTTTCACGTTTAAATTTAAATTTCAGCGTGATGAATCTGTGTATAGCATCGGGGAGACAGACGGGTTTTATTGCTCAGGAGTTGTTGCCAAAAATAATGTGATTTTTAATTGTGTACAGAATCCGTATTGGGTCAGTTCGGCCGTATTTAAAGCTTGTTGTGATGATGAACATTTCAGTATTGCCGAATAAAATTCTCTCCGTGGCGTAACGCGTAAGCTAGTCAACTTAAAGGTCACTAGCGGTAGCTGGTAAGTCAGTTGTTTAGTATGTTGTTGGTGTAGAGTGGAGACTGAGCAGACGAAAAAGTACTGTGTGGACTAAGGACTACTGGGTTCTATTCCCGCAATCCGGGATGAATCTGTACCGGGATGACTTTTCCGCGACAACGCAGTCCGGATACTTTGGAGGCAGGCCATCTCTGCGCTCCATCAGTACAATATAGTAGCTGTATGTGTACGAGTAATAACAAATTAAAGCGCCATAACTATCGCAAGATTCCAAGATCATCAACTCAGTGAACATGTAACTATGAACTGCAATACACTACCTGCAGAAATGTCGACCTGCAGGCAAATGCTGTAGAGCGGTACAAATGCCTGGACCCGCTGGTCGCCGGGAGGTGACCGCTGGAGCTGCGCTTTGCTGTAAATAGCCTGTTCGGTGTCGACTGACTGGGTGGTAGCGTCCTGCTCATTTGGCCTGCTTCCACCGTCATCCGGATGTCATGCACGGCCAACACACGCCAATATTACCTTTGGAAGGAAGGGCAATGTTGCCCGATGCAGCGATGGAGCTGAGGGTGTTCTGCACGCCTTGGAACTGCTCGACGAGTCCGGACGCGGGAGCCGGCGGGGCGGTGGATGTGGATGTGCTCGGTGGTCATCACGTCACTGTGGGGTCCAGGGGAAAAGGTCTGACGCCTAACTGCTGACCGGTACCGGTGCCCGCGTTTGTGGTAGGGGTCGACGGCACGGCCTGTCGAAGCAGCCCCAGTAGCGAGAGGCATGTATAGGCGCCCAGTCGGGATAGCGATCCATGCGGTCGCTCGTTCAACCTGCAAGTGAACCATTACTTGCCGCAAGTTCACTCTTCACTTTGCCATCCAGCTGATAGCAATTAAGAGATCGCTGGGCGCGTACAGTTTCTACAATAACGGCACCCGCAACTAGTGGCTGCCGGTGCGACTGCACAGGAGTGGTTGATGTTCTCCCATGCGGCGGTCAACACACTGCAGCTGTGGTTGATGGCGCCGAGAGGCTGCCGCACTGGACCGCACTGGACCGGTGCACGTGGCCAGTATGCAGTGTATATCCGGTGGATGGAGGCCACTTCCAGAAGACATGCAGGTCGCCGGCGGTCCGTGAACGCCAGCCCCACAGACCGGCGATGGCTTCGAAGGGGCTTGGGGACGTACATGACCGTGACCTTTTGCAGGTGCAGTGTCCGCGGCAGTCCCTCAAAAAGGATCCCAGTTTCCCCAAGTCCGCGGGTAAACTGGCGGTTAGCGGGTGCTGACAAGTGACCTTTCGCAGCACGATCAGCGGGAGCCGAACAGCGTTCCCGTACCGCGCGGAAAGTACAATTTTAGCTAATTGTGCGCCATGGGAAATTATGTAGCTGTTCGGGGTTGTTGTAATAGCACTCATTGGCTTGTATTGTATTACGGTCATAGCGCGCATTATTTCAACCTAGCGTATGGTTTGAAGCTATTATTGCTAATTTGCTAGCGGCCCTGCATCAAAGGATTTAAAAAAATAAAAAAACGCACAAGGAGAGCAACATTTCTGATTTCGTTCACATTCTAAGGCTTCTGATTTAGTTTACAGGCGCAAATTGAAGGCGTTAAGCAAGCAGATTTTCACTGTATCAACTAGATGCTATCATTTCCGGCACAGTAGAAACAACAAGGAATAAGCTGCTTTGTCGGAGCACAACTCCTCAGCAGAATCAAATTACTGCGGTTGCGTGAAATAATATTGCAAGCCGGATAGTAAAGCACACTGCAGTACATTAGTATCAGCAAATATACATATACGCACATATAACGCAGCGGTGACGATCGTGGCGTCCATTTCACAACAGGGGAAAAAAGGGGAGGGAGGAATGTTTAGCGGTGACGGCGGGCGCAGGTTTGCTCCGCACGCCTTCGGGATGGTCGGGAGGTCGGCGCCCTCTGGTCCGCCGCGAACGGGAATGGGCGTGGTTGTGCGGGCGGGAAAGCTTGCTGAGGACAGCGGCGTGACGGTGGCTGCCATGCGGACAAGCCTCCAGCCGACTGCCGGCCGGGGACATCCGAGGCGGGGCAGGGACGGTCTGGATTAGCGGGTAGGAGTAGAGAAAGGCGTGCGCGGCCAGCGGGGACAGCAGCAACTGCGGCCGCTGGTTCAACCTGCAATTATATACACCGGCAGTAGAGATTTCGCTTATTTAGACACCGGTCGCGTTATGCGTACAATTTCAGCATCAACGGCACCCGAAACGCATGTCCGCCGGCGCCGACGGCCAGCTCGTCGCAGGCCAGACGGATGTCTTCCCGTTCCGCGGGCGTCAACTCTCGGCAGATGCGGTTCACCGCGCCGAGAAACTGCCGCAGTTGGCCGGCTTCCGGTTGCATACAGTCGATGCAGACGTTCCACAGGTACACATTCAGGTCGTCGCGAACGTCCTCCTGCGAGCACCACAGCCCGGCGATGGGATCGAAGATGGACGTTATCATGACCTTGTGCAAACGCAGCGTCCAACACGTCTTCATAAGATATCCCAGTTTGGCCCAATCCAGGCGCTGTTGCCGGTGGTTGGCGGTCAGCGGGTTTTGACAAGTGACCTTTCGCAGCCCGATTTCCGGCAGGCGGAGGTGTTTTAGCGACAAGAAGCGGTAGACCACCGCCTCCAGTGCCGGACTGAGGTGGCCGTCCATCAGCGTCAAGGACAACGTCCGCTGGTCGACACTGTGCTTCAGGACGTGGATCAAGCGCGCCCACTTGTGCGCTGGCTCCTGACCATCTTCTTCCGCACTGTTAATCTTTTGCAGGTCGATGGCTACGTGCCGACAAAGATCGGTCAGCGCGTCATACCACGCGCTACACACTCTGCAACAGTCGCAGTTCAAAACTTGTGATACCGGTATGTGCAATATAAAGAAAACATCCATATCAGGCGAAAACATCAGCAAAGATTTACAGATTACGTCAGATCGCCGCTTAATTACTCCACCGTCTTTACGTACCACACTAAATTTTATGACGTTTTATGTCATATAGTATCTTAATCAAAATTTCGATTTTGAAAACCGGCTGTTTAAGGAGTAGGAATGTTTATACCTTGTAACGAAAACTTATCGAAACTGGTAAGCGAGTGATGATCGCACTAAGATATCAAAAATGATGTTTTAATTTTTTCTCAATGAGTTTTATCGGCTTTTTTCTCAATGAGTTTTATCGGCTAGCAGCTTTTCTAACTTCCAGTTTTAACTTCAGCCATGGTTCCGATATACGCACAGATACAGTACTTTTAATACATACTTGGGCCACTGGACAAATCCTTGGCAAAAAAAATTCTGTGCGGCACTGACGGAGCCTCACAAAGCAGGAGGCGTTCGCCCAAAGGCATTCAATACCGCTTTTTTTATGTTTTAAGAGTAGCTACAGTTACTTCGACCGTAAAATGTAGATTTATCATTTATGTACAAGATCATGAAGGCATGCGATATTGCGATATTAGATATATAAACTTGGTACGGATTGACGATAGATGCGCATTGATCTGCATTGTCATCCAGCCGTCGGCCTCAGCGGTGTCAGCGCATTTTCAAGCTAAATAAACGTAACACGGAGAGAACTCGGCACGGTGCCACGAACGGTAAAGATCGGACCGTCGGTTACATCAGCAAGCAACAGTACTGAAAAACCGCTCACTCAGAAACAGCGTATGCAGCTTAACTTCAGGTAACCAGAGCGATTTCGTGCGCTGTTAAAAAAGATCCGTATAGCGGCAAAATCTTCCTCACAGTCTGACAATGAGCGGGATGTTGCCAAAGCAGTGCCTTCCACCGAATGGGAAGCCGACCAGAGGATATTGTTTCACACTTTCTTATCTCTCCTCGGCTTAGCTACACCGCTATCCCGACCAAAATGCAGTGCACACTGGGTTATCCGAGGATTCTTGATTGCCGCGGGAGCAGGCTTAGCTTTAACATACTTCATATGCTTTATTCTTGTGTACACTGAAATTTCCCCGGTAACTATAACCGTTCTCGATCAAATTCAGCTCATCCGTAATCTAATCATGTCTCTTCGTTGTCCGATCTTGATTATCGTATTCTTCCGCTCAGTTAAGATTGCCGACATTCTGAGCGTACTGGAACAGCTAGTCGCTTCCGGTTTTGTGAGCTATCGGAACGTGGCCAAGATGATTCGACGCAAATCCTGCATTTCGGTTGGTGTGGCCGCAGTGGTTTTTATTGCTATTGATTGTACAAGTTGGTCGCATCCGCGATACTCGAGGGAAGCATTTCTAAGCGTGGCGGATATTCATGGCCGCGGTGTGATGCTGTCGCTGTGGCTGCACTTAATCATCTGGGAGTTGATGACAAGCGTACCGATGTTGTACATAACCCTGCTGCAGATGCTGTTTGTTCTTTGTGGTTATTTGCTAGAGCACGGTGTGGACTGCTTTATTGTTGCAATCGAGCAAAACCAAATGGAGCTTAACGTGAAACTACGATATCTTATGGAATTCCGCCGTAAACTGGTCTGCCTGTCGAAGACGATTCACTGTCAGTTTGGAGCGTTTGTGGCCGTGGCTTTCCTGGCTGATGGCTACATTATGGTCAGCCGGATGGCAACCGCGAATATTTTGTCGGACAGACCGAACTTTGCGTCATTATACGCTACGTTAGCCGCTGCCGTGTTTCTGGTAGTCGGGTTGCTACCGTATATACGGGTTCACAGAAAGGTGAATACGGAACTTCGAATTTCTAATGCACAATTTCCAATTTTATTACCCCTTCAAAGGGTTTTTATCATATTTGAACTTTATGGTTTTGTGTTTGTGTAATAGGAAGAAGAGCTACAAAACAAACTATGTGACCTTTTGGACAATGCCGAGGAAATGGTAAGTGTGCCGCTTAGGTGCAGATAAATTACTGGATTCACTTACTCGTTGTTGCTGTTCTGCAGGAGAGCAGTGACGCGGTGAGAAAATGCAAGTCTTTACTTCGCATAAGCGATTCTGGCAGATTGTCCTTAAAGCCGGTGGGAATATGGGAGATTAGCTCGTCCTTGCTTGTTAAGGTTTGTGTAGGATATTCTTGACGTTTGATCAAGTGATCCCAAGCGATTTATGCTCGTTGTTTGCAGACTTTCACTATGATTATCAGCGTTTCCATTGTTGTTCCCGAGTTGCTACCGAAAACGTCCAGCACCTGCCCTGCCGCTGCTGCTGCTGCGGTAATCGGAATAAACTGCAGTGCGTGTTGTGCGTAAAACATGAAACATTTAAGTACAGCGTAGTGGGTCAAAAAATTTTGGTTTTTGTATACACTACAGTGCACATTGTTAATGTTTTATCGGCCGCGCATCATTGCGCGGAAAGCGAACGCTTTATTATGTAAGAAGGTCATTGCATGTCAGAGGTTGATTGCATGCAAGGCGCAAGAACGTACTTCATAGAAACATGACAGTACCCAATGAAAAAATATATTCGTCTGAATGAAATTATGTTCTGTTCTTATACGGAAGCTGGAGAAAACAACCAAAGCTCAGGCATTGCGTATTAAGTTGACACCTTCAGACTAAACCGGGTGAAACGGCCAGATATATAAACTAAGAAAATCTTTGAAATCTTCTTTCAAGGCGGGTTGTGGTTGTCGGCAATATTATTTATTCGCATTTAAGATTTCGGCGTTCGTCGCGGAGAGCTTTCTCGCTGATCTGATTGCCGTTGGCATCCACACACCACGCGCCAATCCAGTCTTGTTGTTTCTTCATCCATTTTCCGTCACTCTCGCAGGAAGGCACCCACTTGTCGGGAACTGCAAATAAAAGTTCGCATACTGTAAACAAAACATGCAAATACTATGTACAAGTAGCTCAACATTTGAGTAACAAATGAACACAGAGCGCATGGCATTCTTTCAGCTCTGTACACAGTACGTGCTATTACTTTGTTGCGCCATCTCCTTCTCGCGGGCTTTTTCACACGTGCAGCGGCCGACGTTTTTATTGCCGGAGATGCTCTTTCCATTGGGCAGCAGAATCGGGACGAACTCCATACACTGGCCGCCCATGATGGTGCTTTCCGCGACCACTACCATCAACAGGATTAGGAGGCTCAGTGGTATAAGATGCATCTTCGTTAGTACTTGTAATAATATTCCTAAGAATTAATTCAGTGGTCGTAAGATGCAGTATAGGGTAACAGCTTTGAAAGCGTTATAAGCAGAAGCGAAGTAAAGTGCTATAAGCCGGCGTTTTTGCAAAGTGACAACGTGTAAGTACAAGATGTACATCACAAAATTAGAGTCTCGAAACCCTGTACCCACATAATATCTGTTAGTAAGACTGTAATATCTGATCTTCGGTTTTATATCAGATAAAAAAGATGCAGCTGCTTTAAAAGTATAGTAGTAAAACAACGTGAAAATTATCAGTGCTATAAGCAGTATTTATATTAACTTTATAGTGTTTATAGCACTGTAGTCGACACAGAGATACAATGTGTGAGCCAGTACTCATTTTGTAATGCACGTACGAACAGGAAAAGCACTGTTCGTATGTGCATTACTACAATACAGTATATTGATATGTAGGTTTATGTAGCATGTACGGTTAATGCATTAAATTAATTTTGTTATTACGTATTTTGTCGATAATACAGCAGTGCGAGAAGTCGATTACGCCTTATCCTTTATGTACATGTAGTTCCTGTCCTTAATGCTTTGTGTACTTTTTGCGTACATCGTTTATCCTTATCCACTGTTTCATTATAAACGTTATCGAAGGTTGTTAGCATTTCGTTAGCAGTTCGATGCTTTGTATTTACTTACCTAATTTCTAAACAAATGAAAAATGCAGTGAAAATATTTCCAGCAGCTTAAATACAACTGCTAAACAAGTAACGGGTACCGGAAAGCGCTGAAACGTACAGCATACTGCGTATTCGTTATATATTTATTATAATTGCTGATATTGCATACCATAATTATCGAATCTGAAGCCCCCCCCCCCCGAAATAGAGGCCCATGGGCTTAATTAAATATCGTAAAGCCCATATTAAGAAATGTGAAATATAGATATGTGTAACCCTGGGGCATGCATGCAGGTTTACGTATGTACCGGTACATTATACGGCTGACTTCGTAAATGTGCGAGCGATATTAATGTACTTAAACGTTAACGGCACATATAACTTTGTGTATCTTTATTCTTGGATATAACACTAACTGCACAGATAACTGACGAAATAAAGTTTTATTCACTATGTATCCATCACATTAAGGCCAACAAATCAGCATCCCAGTTTTTGTTTATATAGAGATACTTTGAACTTATGTTGAATGAAAATTATTACCCCGATACATATGTATTCCAAGTCAACAGTCACTGATTCTTAGAAGAAAATGTACGGAATAAATATCCAATGCGCCACTTGACATTTTGCTCTGAATTCGAATTACGAGCGTAAAGCGTTTTCTTATGAGGCTTTCTGGCTGGTATCAGCAATTCCGCCTTCTACAGCAGTGTCAACTGTGTTGTGCAAGATGGCCGCATTTTACATAGTATACACCCATGAATGTTTTTCCTTATTGTACTTGAAAATTTGGACTGGCGCTTGCTTGCCAGTTTCTTCCCAAAATGGACTTCCGGTTGAATAGTATCCTTTGCGTTATCGTCCTCCTTCTTATCGGTAAACTGAAACCTTCTTAGAAGCTCAGGGCGGTATAGATTATGGAAGGATTGCGTGTTTAGACGAAGGTCATGCGAAATGGGTTCGAATGGAGAATGGACGAATGGAAAATCCCGAAAACCCCTGGACATTGTGGCCCAACGGAGACATTCACTTCTACCTCGATAAAGACTACAGTGAGTTGTTTTTGCACCCCTTCTTAGTAACACCACATTATTGCAATATCCGTTAAATCATATTAATCGAGGATGAAGTTCGTACACGTACGCTATTAATTTCTGCACTGCTTTCATTTTCTTTCTTTCTGCACTGCACGGCGCACAAACTATCTTGTAATCATTTACGTGTTAGCGCGCTCAGTATACATGCACCTACATGCACCTACATGAATTATGCACCTACATGTAGACGAAAAGGATTAGGATATTGAGAGCTGGGCCACGTTCTTGTATTTTAATTTTGTTTCTTATACGAGTATAACTATACGAAGTAAAAGATCCACAATAAATTCACGTTGAGAGCGCTTCTGTTACATAATATTTATAATTTAGCAACGCTGCAGAGAGCGCAGATCAAAACCGCTATGGTGCGCATTAGCCAGGACACCGGTGGCTGTGTGAAGTTCCTGGAGACAACAGCGGACGCTGCGGTTTACAAGCTAAAGATCACTCCGAATAAAGGCGACGCGTAAATTCAGAAACTTCTGACGATGATTTCTGGCATGTATTAAGAAAATAAATTGTAACTATTACAGCGGCGCGGTGGAGCATCGCTGCTATACCGTTCCCGGACGGCTCCGAGCCAACCATACCGGCGAGCAGATTATGGTCCTGACCGACGGTGATGATGGCTGTTTCCACGAAGGACCGCGATCTCTGATGAAATACTTAACATTAAGTAAACACTGCCGCCTAAAAAACTGCGGATTTTGTTATGCGCGTACATCCGGTGTTTAAGATATTAAACCAAGACATCATGCGACAGGTGTGGGGAAACGGAACGAGCACCAGAAAGCCATTCGCAACGATTTCCTGGACATCAGTTTGGACAACGTCTTGCCGAGTAATATACATACATACGACAGCTGTCATTGGTTCAGTATTAATACAACAATGTTGCCAAAGTTGTGATTTGAGCAGGCATGCGTATGGCGTTTCGAACATTTCCACCGGAAGCGGCGTATTCCGCCTGCCCATATTACGACTATTGTAGCATAACACACAACCAGGTAACCTGAATTCCGGGACATATTGTTTTCTGGTTGATTACAAAATATTGCTTTACTTTTTTATTTTGTTTAGCCGCGAGATTACACACAGAAAGGAAGCGATGCTGCCGCGTTTGTTGTCAAACAGCCACCGTACTTTATTCCTAAGATGTCCCATCTTAGCGTAAGTTGCCAAAAAATTCAAGTGATTTGAAGTACTGACCTAGAAAAACAAAATTAATTGTGCACCATGAATAATAAGTAGGTTAAAATACTACCTAATATAAAATTATATAACTGATTAAAATCAATTGCGACAAGCACTATGTACTCGTATATGCATGTCTTTTCATTGCGATGTACTTTCTTATTTGAAGGAATGCGACTGCAAGGACATAACCACGATGTATGGAGGCGACAGCTCGGTTTGCGCAAAACGTAAGCGACGTTACCCTTGGCAAATAATATCATACGTGAAATTATGGCATTAAGTTCAGAAACAATGTATTCTGATAAATAGTGGACTGTGCGGCACAAAAAATGCCGCCACAACAAAAACCTGTACCGGTGCCGGGTTCATCTGGACAAACAAACCAGAACCAGCCGGCCCAGCCTAGTGGAGCAGCCGGCGTAGGTGCCGGGCTAGAAGCGGATGACGACCTCCAGAATCTGCTGAATCAGATACTAGGAATGGAGGGCGGTGGTGGTGGCGCAGGTGCCGGTGGTGGCCGTCCCGGTGTTATCAGCGGGGGTGGGTCATTTGCCGGCGGAATGGGTGGCAACGGTGGGGGCGGTGCACCCGGAATGCCAGGTGGTACCGGTGGCGGTACACCGGGAATGGGAGGTGGTGCCGGTGGTGGCATTGGTGGTACTGGTGGTGGCGGGATGTCCGGGATGGGTGGCGGTGGCGCTGGAGGTGGATCCATGCAGCCGTCGGTGTCTCAGGGCGGAATGAGCAATGATGTCTGCTACACCATCCAGATGGTCGGAATGGGTGGAGCCAGCGGAGCCGGAGGAATGAATGGCGGCATGGGAGGAATGTCCGGAATGGGAGGCGGCGCCGGTGGATCTCCCGGGATGGGTGGAGGTGCTGGAGGCGGCATGGGCGGTGGTATGGGTGGTATTTCTGGAGGTGGAGGAAGTGCAGTTGGAGCTGGCGGCGGTTCTGGAATGGGCGGCATGGGGATGGGAAACAATCCAGGTGGGATGTTAGGAGGAAATGGAATGGGTGGAAATGTGGGTGGAGGCATGTCCGGAGGCGGTGGAATGGGAGGAAGTATGGGTGGTGGTATGGGCGGAGCCGGCGGCAGTTCTGGAGGAATGGGAGGTGGTAGTAACAGTATGACTTTCACCTTTACTATTGGCGGAGGAGGACAAGCTATGGGAAATATGGGAAGTGGTGGCGGTGGAGGAATCAGCGGTAATCCAGGCATGTCAGGATCGAACGGTGGAATGTTCGGCAGCTCTTGGGGAGCAAATGGGGCAATACTGGTGCCACTGGCATGGGTGGATCCATGGGTAATTCAATTCAAGGCGGCTCATTCAACAGTGGGATGTTTGGAAGTGGTCGACCGGTGGGCAGCGGGGGATCGTTCAGCTCTGGTAACAATTGGGCGACGAGTAGCGGCCGTGATGTCGGTCAGACTGGTTATCATGCAAGCACGGCGATGTTACATCGTACCACGACAATCATACATCCCACAACGCACCACCGATCGTCCCTTCCCGTGAACGGCCCGCCGAATGCGCAGTGCTCCGTGACTATGACGCCTGGAATGGGCGGTATGGGAGGCGGTATGGGCGGTAACGCTGGTAACTCTGGTGGTAACGCCGGTGGCAATGTTGGCGGAAATATGGGCGGAAACTCCGGTGGCGCTGGAAATAGCATGGGTGGCGGCATGGGCGGTAGCTGGAGCGTTAACTCCGGCAGTTCCGGTGGTAATGCTGGTGGTGGTATGACAAGTAATTGGGGAAGCAATACGGGCGGCAATGGCGGGGGTGCTGGCAGTAATATGGGCGGCGGTCAGGCCAGCAGCTGGAGTGTAAATATGGGCGGTAACGCTGGCAGTGCCGGAACTAATGCTGGTAGCGGTATGACCAGCAACTGGGGCGGTAACATGGGCGGTAACGCGGGTAGCTCCAACGGGAACATGGGTGGAAATGCCGGCAGTTGGAGCTGGACTAGTTCAGGCGACAGTGGCAGGCCCCCTGGAGTGCCCCCGGGAGCAATGAGTAGGCGTAGAAATTCAAAACTTTTATAAGCTGAAAAGGCAATCAAAATAAAATTTGCCGGGTTATTTAATTATAGTGTCCGCCAAGCCAGGAGATCCCATTCCGATTGGATCCGGTCAGCGGTTTAAACGAACCATGAACAACGACCAAGCGTACTATAAGTGGCCGGGAAATACGGTGCCCTACTGTGTCGATCCATCTTACAGTAAGGGTGATTGCAGATGTTTGTGCCGTCTGCGCAGTAGTTTTAATTTTTATTCTGTGCTTAATTATGCGTATGTTTTTTGATAGTTTAATTCTTTTAGATCGTTGACTTTTTCCTTGATTACATATTTGCAACTGTTTTACGTATTTTTTACTTACCGGGCGATTTTTTGTTGTTTCCACCAGGTCCCCTGGAACAAGCGCAGATCCATGCCGCTTTCAAAGCAGTTCAGGATCAAATGGGTAGCTGTGTTCAGTTTGTCAACACCAGTGCGGATAGTCCGCTGTTCAAGGTCAAGGTAGCTCCCAGCGATGGACAAATGTGAGAATCGGCTATGCCTTGTTTTGTCAACATAAAACGTAGCCGGCCTAACTGAAACTGTATCGCTGCAGCGCTTCGCCGCTCGGATCAAAAGCCTGCAGTTCCCTGCCGGGTGCTTCGGCACAACATATTAGCAGTGGAAAGAAGGAGCAGATCATGGTGTTATCCAAGGATTCCAAGGACGGTTGCTTTGATGGAACCCGACATTCGCTTATGAAATTGTAGTGTTCTGCTATTCATTGCGAAATTTTTCATAATATTACATAGGAAAATTTAGTGAAGTTAGGATATCTGCGTATGAAACATGTTGCACATTAAATTAAATGAAGCCTTTTTTATTAAATAATCTCTTGCACGTACAATTCTGTAGTGCCGCTATCGTTTTGGGACTACGCAGCATCCACAACCGGCCTGATCGCGATAATCATATTAACCTGATCCAAGGCAACATTCCACCAGGTAATTTGATGAAAAACAGCTAATTCTGTCGCTCGGAACGTTGTATTAGTTATTTCTGAAACAAACTAGCGCTTACAGTAATTGTTTTAACCAAGATATTCCGTAATTTGCCTGGCCTTTCCGCTTTTGGTGACGGCTGTGTTTTTTCTCCAGGTAATCAAGCCGCATATGCAAAATTCACCGAAGCCAACGCCACCAGCAGCACGTGTCCCACGTATGACTACTGCTCCATAACGCATAATAAAGTAATTACACGTCTGCACAGGAAATATATTGAAAGGTCGTGTAATTCTGCGTATGTTGGGTATAGATGGACGAATTCTCCAGCGCTCCCGGCACCCCGGCCTTCACTGTGCCCAATCCGCCGTATTTCATCCCGCGTCTGGGCGAACTTTCCGAGTGCGATTGCAAAGAACTCAGTGCCCTTTACAGATGCAATATACAGTGCAAGCCATGTAGGTTTCACTGATAATAATTAATAAAGCGCTGGATATGCTAGCAGAGGCTCAACTTAAAAAAACCGTAAAATACCGTATTAGAATTAACACAAGCAGCATAAGCACAAGTATATCGGATGACTCTTAGTGAACTGTGCCGGATTACCGCTGCCAGCGGGCATGTCTCGTCCTGGCGCTGCTCCACAGCCGCAACCCGGCGGACAGCCCGGACAACCCGGTGGACAGGTCAACCCACTGCCTCCTACGCAAGGCCCGGTTATCGATCTCTTCCCGCCCACGCAACCCACCCCACCACCCCGGTTTTACCCCGGGACCACCGGTGGCTCCCATTACCCAACCGGTGCCGTTACAACCAACCCTCCAATAATGCCGCCTACGCCGCCAATCAACATTCCCGGAATCTGGAGGAAATGGCGGTAACGTTGGGATCGGTGGAGGTAACATCGGAGGCGGAATCGGGGGCGGAATTGGTGGTGGCAGCACTGGAGGCGGAATCGGAGGTAACTTTGGAAGCGGAACAATCGGATCCGGCATTAATGGTATCAACAACGGGATGGGAAATAATCCACGCCCGAATCCAGGCGGTCAGTCCGGACAGGGCGGCGGACAAGTCACGATTTCTATTCCGACCACGGTGTCGTCAGCCGGACAGGGTGGTGGCTTCAAGATTTGCTACAGCGTACCAGCGCAAGGGCAGTCGATGGCATTTAACGCAGCTCCGGCGATTAACCTCCAAATCGTGCTGAATATGGTCGGTGGCGGCGGCGGTGGCGGAATGGGGGGAAATATTGGTGGCACCGCTAATCTGCCCGCGACAAGCAACTGTCCGAATCCGGGTACAATGACCGACCTTGTTTGTACGAATTTCAGAATTTCTAATTTTTCAACGGTTTGGATTGTAGGTAACCAAAATCCTAATCAGCCACAGCCAGGAAATCCAAACACGCCGGGCGGGGGTGGCAAACCAGGAGGTGGAGAAACTCCAGGAGGCGGACCAAAACCGGGCGGAGCAGATACACCAGGAGGTGCTGACAAGCCGGGAGGCGGGGATAAACCAGGAGGGGATAAACCTGGAGGAGGGGATAAACCCGGAGGTGGAGACAAGCCAGGCGGCGATAAGCCTGGAACCGGAGATAAGCCTGGAACCGGTGATAAACCGGGCGGAGATACTAAGCCAGGCGCCGGCGATAAGCCAGCGGGCAGCGGTGACAAACCAAGTGGCGATGACAAGCCCGCGGGCGGTGATAAACCGGGAGGAGATAAACCCAGCACCGGAGACAAACCCGGAGGAGACGCGAAACCCGGTATTGGCGACAAACCAGCTGGTAGCGGAGACAAGCCTGGAGATAAGCCGGCAGATAAGCCAGGCGACAAACCGTCGGATAAGCCATCCGAGAAACCCGGAGATAAACCGTCGGATAAGCCAAGCGACAAACCAGGCGACAAACCTTCCGATAAGCCCGGAGACAAACCTAGCACGGGGGACAAACCAGGAGGAGACGCCAAGCCCGGTAGCGGCGATAAGCCAGCCGGAAGCGGCGGTGATAAACCTGCAGACAAACCAGCAGACAAACCATCGGATAAACCATCCGATAAGCCTACTGATAAACCGGGAGACAAGCCATCGGATAAACCTTCTGATAAACCGGCTGATAAACCATCTGATAAACCGTCTGACAAACCATCCGATAAGCCATCTGATAAACCGTCGGATAAGCCTTCCGACAAACCGGCTGATAAACCGTCGGATAAACCGTCCGATAAACCGTCGGACAAGCCGGCGGATAAACCGTCCGATAAACCGTCCGATAAACCGTCGGACAAGCCGGCGGATAAACCGTCCGATAAACCGTCGGACAAGCCGGCGGATAAACCGTCCGATAAACCGGCTGATAAACCGTCCGATAAACCGTCTGATAAGCCGTCCGATAAACCATCTGATAAACCAGCAGATGACAAGCCTGCCGATAAACCAAGCGACAAGCCTTCAGATAAACCGGCCGATAAGCCGTCAGATAAGCCTAGCGACAAACCTTCTGAAAAACCAAGCGACAAGCCGACCGATAAACCAGCCGATAAGCCGAGTGACAAGCCAGCAGATAAGCCGTCAGACAAGCCGGGAGACAAACCAGCAGACAAGCCAGCGGACAAGCCCAGTGATAAACCGAGTGACAAGCCTTCAGACAAACCAAGCGACAAACCAGCCGATAAACCGGAGGAAAAACCTGCTGATAAACCAGGAGAGAAGCCAGCTGACAAACCAGCCGATAAACCCAGTGACAAGCCGTCCGACAAGCCAGCGGATAAACCTGCTGATAAGCCGGGAGACAAACCCGCCGATAAACCCAAGCGGAAATAATCTTTTTTAAAAAATAATGGGCTGCGAGTTACTTCTCGCTACCTTGCAGTGTTTGACTTGCGAGATGTGCAAATGAAAAATGCATTAGGTGTTGCACTTATATAATATGTAGTTACCTATTCCCTGTTAAAATCATCGTTAAATAGCCTAATATTACATTAGGTTTCTCGCCGACTGTCGAGAAGCTGGCGTTATTTGGTGTTCGCCTTTGGATTTAAATTTATTTTAAAAAATTCTCTATTTGGTTTCATGAATAGTTTATATTAAAATGTTTTATTTCATGTAAATAATGCGAGTATCGATAAGGTTTCAGCGCGATCCACTATGAACCAAGAGGGATTGCGGCTGAATTGCCAATATTTACGTTTCAGATCCAAAATTATAGTTTAAATTGGGTATCTTGGGTACTTTCAAAAACATTATTCCTGCACAAACAAGGGAAACTACTGTATTTTGATTTTCATACAAAATGACTGACATAAAGATTCTACAGATTCGCATCGATGCCAGCTGCTGCCAGCTACGACATAACCAACTTGGATAACAAAAAATTAATAAACACCAGAACAGCTTTATTTGATAACGTTTATGCGCAAAATATATAGGGTAGCCTGACTGAGTTCAAGTGCTGTATCCGTCATGCCAACGTGAATGTTTTGCCAGAAACAATGTGAGCCGCTGCTTGTGGTAGTCCGGGCATTCTTATTTTATAATTGTTCCAAAACAATCCTCAAATCACCGCATCATTAAGTCGGAAGTACCAATGGAGACTACGAGGATCTTGTTTGTCCTGCTTCTCATACATGCATTTGCTGCAGCAGGTAGGTGCATATTCTGTCATTTAGAACTATTTGTGTACCGCAGAAGTACTCGATGCTTTACGGTGACAATGTTCTTATTATTTCGACAGCGGAAGCCAAATGGGTCAATGTGAACGGTCGGTTTGTTAATCCATCCTTACCATGGACGCTGTGGCCCAACAACCAAGTGCCGTTCTATATTGATCCGCTGTTTAGTATGTACAGGCTTTCAATTATGCATGTTCGCAGACGAGAACATATTGTTAGTACAAGTATAGCTATTCTGTTCTTCTATAACTACCTGTAAAGACAGTAAAGTACTGCAGCACCTGAGGAAGAAAAGGATGTCCGAGCTGCCATGCAAATCGTGCAGTCCAGTCTGGATGACTGCGTTGTATTTGTGGAAGTCTCACCCGTTTCGGAGGTGTTTAAGTTGAGGATAACCCCTTACAACAACGATCGGTAGGTTTGCGCCGTATATTCAAGATTTTACGCTCTCGGTGTTTCGCAGTTCCTGGCGAACAAAACGGGATGATATGTGGCGCTCTTTGGCAGTCACGCGTTAAGTGATCGCTGCCGGACTTATCCGGGGAAGATGGCCAATTTTGAGAAAGCCGGCTGGACGGAACAGCCGCTGGTGCTAACGGCCGGACCAGCAGGCTGCGTGGGCCAAGGACCTCGTCCATTACTGAAATATTTCGTATTAGGTAGTAATCCCGATTCCCGAGCGAACTTATGTGAGCTTTCCTTTAATTCACAGTCAGTTACACAATATTCGTTATTTGTAGTACTTGGCAAACGCAACGAACACCAGCGGCCAAATCGCGATGAGTATGTACACATCAATGAGGAAAATTTGGATGCCGGTACGTAAATGTTTTATGTAGTATTTCTGTATGGGTTGTGCCCAATTGTGACTTTCTGGTTTTCAACAGCTTCGAGGGTGGCTTACAAGAAGTATTCCGACGACGAATTCTTCTCAGCCTGTTCCGATTACGATTATTGCAGCGTCACGCACAATCAAGTAAAACAAATTAAATGTTATTGCTCTTCTCGTACATTTTAAAAGTTTAAGTCAGTAACACCTTTACATTGACTTGCACGGAATAGCGGCACTACTGTTTACCACATTTGAATTTTAACAGCCGATGGATTTCACAAGCAACGGAACGGCGGGATTTATTGTCAAGAAAGAGCCCTATTTCATCCCCCAGCTGGATCATTTAGGCGTAAATCATTATGTTTGATCTTCTTTAGCGGTTTCTAACTCTCCTCTCCGTTGTCAGGAATGTGACTGTATGGATCTGAAAATACTCTACGGCTGCACACCAAATTGTAAAAAACGTAAGGTCTGTGCTGCTCTGATTCCTCCGCCATTGTACAGATCGCTTCCAGTTGGTGTTCTGTAGTGAACTGTGGGAGACTGAAGATGCTGCCACCGCCCATGGACGCACGGGAACAATGCTCGCCCGGCCAAGCCACACCCATACGCACCCAGTCTATCTGGACATCCGTGGAATCCTCTCCCACAATGCATCGGGTTTGCTACACCATATCTGCGTCAAGCGGAGCGATGTCGCGATCAGTGTCAACTACCATTGAGCCGATGGGGCAACAGCGCCAGGCCGGTGGTTTATGTCAAGTGACTGCCAGTACCGGAGGAATGGGAAACCCTTCAGTTGGATTCAGTAAGTGATGCAGTTACGTACTATCAATGAATAAATATATTACTAAAGCTATGCATTGCTAGCAGTAAATATATTCTAATTTGCAAAGGCATTACAATGTACCGTATTTATTTATATTTATGTAACATATTGGTGCTATTAAACTTGCACTCAAAATGGCGCAACTCCACGAACCTGTTATGAAGTTTTTGCTATTTCCCGAACCCGCCATCACTGTTCTGTAGACCTAGGTTAGTTTTTTGTGATAGGTATCTCATTCGGCATGCGTCAGAAACGAGAGATCCTGAGCCCAGTTCCAACACAACGAGCACTGAATTTTGACCCAAAATTTGCAAAATGGCCCGGAAACACTGTACCGTATTATCTTGACCCGTCCTATAGTAAGCCGAAAATTGCTTACTATTAGACTTGCACTGCTGTTTGCTTTGACCTTTTTAACACTTTTTCTTCTCAGCCCCTGAAGAACAAAAGCGCATTAAGGATGCATTCACTCAGCTGTCGACGGAACTCGGCGGCTGTATCGTGTTCTCAGAAGTGCCAGCAACTGCCCCCGTATTTAAAGTGAAGATTACTGCAACTGAGAGTATTCCGTAAGCTCACCGTTTAATGTATCTGCACGTACTGTGTACAGCTTCATTATGAAATGTATTTGCTAAGAGGAACATTTCCCGCGCGCGGCTGCCACACGTTGCCAGGAGCATCTCGTGATCGCATCGGTGTAGGAAAAAACGAGCAGGAGATGCTGATCCGCACCGGTCCCAATGGATGCGTCAATGATAACCAGACTCTGTTGCGCCTGTACGTTTGACATAAAGGACATCTTTAACTAACTAGTGGAACTGATTTGACGTTTTGATAGTTGAATTATTTAAAACGAGCGTTCGTCAGCGTTGCTGCTTTTCCGTTGTAGAGCAGCAATGGTTCTGGGAAAACGCTACGAGCACCAACGTCAAGATCGTGATGACGCGCTGACCATTAACGATGCCAACATTAGTCCAGGTATCCACAGGTTATAAAATAAATAATTTCTGGTCATTTAAGACTTCGTGGATTATGAATTCGCAGATATGAAATCGCTATTCGACAAGTACACCTTCCAAAACGCGTCATTGTTCTGTGCGTACGATTATTGCTCGGTTACGCATATCAGAGTAAGTACTGATTTCATCTTGATAGAAAACGGAGGAAAATATGCCTCAGATTTATAGATCGAAGAATTCTCCGGCACGGTCCCTGGAGGTGCTTTCAGCGTAAAGAATCCTCCTTTTCGCATCGCTCGGCTGAATAAGCTTTCGGAATGCGATTGCAAAGAGCTCAGCGTCATGTACAACTGTCCGTTGGAACGATGTGTACCTCGTACGTTTCCCGGTTATCTCACTGAAACACGCTCTGAATTACCGGTAATCTTTTCATAGTGAACTGTTCTGCCATCCCTCCTGCACTGCCACCACCAGGCACCGTGTTCTCCCCTCCGGATCGCAATGTATCCAAACCCAGGAACTCCTCCCAACAACCATAACGCGCCAGTGAATATTAACCCGTCGCTTCCGGCTGTGAATAACAACGTTCCCAACGCCCCAAACCCACCGTCACCGTTCGTTACCATCACGATACCGACAAACGTCGCACCGGGTGCGGACGGGAACATCCAAGTTTGTTACGCGTTACCCGTGCAGAATGTTCCCATAACCTTTACCGTCACTCCCGGACAGTCGATTGGGATTAGCGTGGGGAACATCCAGACGATGGTGACCGTTAACGGTTGCCCGAATACCGGTAATCAGCAGCAGCAAGGTTCTAGAATTTCTGGTCGTTAATCTGGTTTAATTGCACAGAGATACCTCAGCGACCAGAATGGCCTGTGCCAGTGATTACTCCTCCAGTGTTCACTCCGCCACTTCCACTGCCAACAGTCCCGAGCCAACTCCCGACACAACCACCTTCGACGGCGGCGACGTCTCGACCAACCAGTGCCATGTTGATTTCGACACCAGCAAACATTCCCTCTAGTTCTCCGAATGTTATGACCAGCACAGCGCAAACCACTATGGGTACATCAACGGGAAGCACAGCTCCATCGTCATCGACAGCAAGTACCATCACGGCGCAAATGTTTACCTCCAGCATCGAAACCTCATCTGCTATCTCCGCCAGCACTATAAGTATCGTCAGCTCTACCACACCGTCATCCACCATTGCCACCAGTTCTCAGGGATTGACTTCGGCGGCTCAATTGCCATCCAGTTCAACGCCGTCCACCCCCGTTATTTCTAGCGCCATCACTGCGACTACTTCTGTAACTTCTGCCAGCTCTATTAGCATCCCGAGCTCTTCAGTTACGACGCCCTCCACCGTTGCGACCGCATTGCCGAATGCGAGCACTGCCACATCTGCAGCCACATCTGTTGCCAGTTCCGGCGGAAGTACTACTACTCCGCCGCTGCCGACCGGACCCATAACACCAGTTGCCCTAAGCACTTCTACAGTAACCCCAACAAGACAATCTTCGCTCCAAACGTCAGCATCAACGCCGTTTGCGGTTTCGACATCGGTTGTAACAGCGGCCTCTTCGGTTCTCACATCCCAGCCGACCAGTGCGACTACTCAAGGAGCCAGCAGCACTGTAAGCGGCGCAGTATCCAGCACCGTGGCTGTTTCTATCTCTTCTGGTGGATCCACAACTCCGTCTACGCGAGCGGTAACTGCGTCAGTGGCAGCTAGCTCCACAGCTGTACCGGCCACCGGGCAGACCCGGGAGGCTGTACCGGCATCAGGGAGCAGTACGGCGCAGTCGGGGACGCCAGTGACAACCGTTGCGAGAACGAGCAAAGGTAGGCAAGCAAGTTTTGGGTTGCGGTATAAATATTTACAACAATTATATGCAACTAAGAACACTGGCTCGGGTATTGCGGTTGGACAGTGTGATCAAGGAAATAGTACTGGATGTGTAAAAGTTTACATATGGCAACATACTTTGTTATTTTCAGTTCCGACTATAGTGGACGACCATCGACCACAACTGGACCCCACTTTCTTCGAGTACGCTTTCCGGTCGGCAAATAAGAAACCGACAACCGTAATGCTAGAAATGTAACGGCACTCTTTTCGTTACACGTATTAATCTTATCTAAATTTTGTCAGTTATTTTTGTGCCCTGGTTTTGCTAAACGCTCCCTTTTGATATATTTTGCCCGTAAAGATGAGATTTCTAAAGATACTGTGCAAGCTAAAATATCAATAGTCACAAAAATCACGTTTTTTTAAAGAAACTACTCTACGCTGACCAGAACGGTTATTATGCAGTTTCTTAGTCATCTTACCAGTTTACTACTGCTGTAGTTACAGTTTATACATACAGTACTACACTAGCGAAACTTAGGTAGAACGTCGTCTCTTCAGCAAGGTCACGAAAAAGGCGTCACATCATTGTTCAAATTGTTTAGCTGAGCTGAAATAACCCACACAAAATATATGAGAAACGCGTCACTGCGTCAGCATCGGTTTGCAATCCGGCATATCAGTATTTACATATTATATGAAAAAATTAATTGACTCAGTCGCAAAACCGGCGCGCAAGCGCTCACCCGTCCCTTGGGTTATATGTACGGACTACGGAGTACTTACACCGAGTAGCCGCCCCTCTGCGGCACCTAGTCATTTTAATAACATGCTAATCAGACGTCAAGCTTGACCAAGTTTGCTTATAAAGCAGCTGCGCGAAAACCCAACTGAAAGTAAACATAGGTACATGTTGCTTTGTCAAACACCTCCGATGTGCTCAGTTGTATTGCTTAATCCTTGTTATCAGCTGCCAATGAATCACTCGCTTCCCTGAACCAAATAACCACAATAAGCGTTACTGACTTTTTCAATTCTTTTTCAATACAAAGTTAATCAACCACAAGACATGTACACGTATAACGAGACAACATTAAATGGCAGTATTTTTCCGCACTACATCAACGGCACCAAGATCGTTCCTCCACAGCCGGAATGGTACTTTACCATCTACACCGTTGTCACCGTTCTGCACCTCCTACTGAATATTACCGTTTTTGTCCCTTTCATCCTGCAGAGATCCCTCCGTACCCCATTTACTGTCTACGTCATCTGTCTCTTAATTTCCAACATCATTCAAGGCAGCCTTCTCAACATCCTGGAATTGGTGGGTCTGGATCACGGTGTGGTGACCAACCTGTCGCCGGCGTTATGTGCCCTGTATGAATACTTGAACACCGTGTTCTCCGGTGGTTTGACGTGCTGTCACGTCCTGATCACGATTAACCGGCTGTGGGCGTTTATCTTCCCGGTATCGTATCGGCACCATCATACCGGCAAAATGGCCGTTCTCATTTGTGTGCTAATGTGGACGTATGTACATGCTCTGGGTTTGCCGTATTATATTATTCATGAACTGTGTTACCGGCCGAATGTCCACATTTTTGGGTGTATTGTAAGTTTATTTTGTGATAATTATATGCACACCGCTGGTGTCCTGATACCAGTACTTAATTGTTCGTGATTATCTCATTTGAACAATTTTCAATCGCGCTGATCGTGTAAAATGTCCTTAGCTTTTCTGACGTTTTTCTGCAGTTAAATGCATAAAGGTAACAATTTGTTCTTTATTACCTGCATCCTGTTTTTTTCGGCAGCTAAACGAAAATTCTGGAAAAGTTTTCGATGAATACTTATAATGAACGAGACAATATAGTTTCTTTTATTAAACTCCATTTTATTCCACAAGGATTTCATAAAATAGAAAGCCAGATAATTTGATGAATTTTGTCAAAAGTTTCCCGGCAAACGGCTACGCAGAAAATCCTGCAAATTGATTTACTTTTCCGGGAGTGGTTTATAATTCTGCAGGCCAAATCACTGAGGCCAAACTCTCTGTTAATTACATTGTACAGATAGTATTTTTGGAATGGCATTACTGTGTAACGCATTGTGCATTACTCGGGGGGTTTACTTAATTTTGCGGCGAAATAACATGCTCCTGATTTTTTGCACATAATTCTTCTGGCATCACTTTCTGCGTAAAACCTTGTAAAAATTGTAGTTTTTGTTCTGGCAAACAAAGTTGTGTGAATTTCTGCAGACTAATGTCACCGCCATATCGGCGTGGAACGGCGTGGTCATCGTCACCCTCTACGTCATTCCGACCGCGATTGTCGTCTGCGCCTATCCGTTGTTGTGGTATTTCCACCACAAGCGCCAGAAAATCGCCCACAGCACTAAACTAGTAACATCTGGCACCAGAAATAGCGAGGCGTTCAGTGCGCTGACCTGCTTGACCATCAGTGTGCTGGTGTGCTGGGTACCGACGGATATCTACTACTTGGTCAACGATCTAACCGAGCTGGATGTCTCTTTCCTGGATGAGGTGGCGTCGGTGTTGTTTGTCGTACAGGGTACACTAGATCCGGTGTTATTTGTGGTGTCTCTCACGGGACTGAAGGAAGCATTATGTAAATTCCCCCGAAAAATTATGGCAAATATTGTCAAAAAATTCCGGTGTTCCCAAGCGAAAGATTAATAAATTATTTAAACCGGCAAACCGAAGAACGCGACTTACATGGTAGCGCGTCGTTTGTCGGGTGTCTGCATGACTGTATTCATTATAAAATCACAATGCTGAGTCTGGTGAGAAACACTTGACATGCCGCTAGAATCCATTATCCAGCGATTATTAAACGTAATAGCGTTCGTGTTCGCAAATGTATCCAACGGAAATCCACCTTGTGATCTCAGTTTACTGATCCGGGGAAAAATTTGCACGTTAGCAGAGCGAAAGAATGGCGGCCATCGAAAATTCCATTTTGAACGTCCTATTGGTCATCGTGATCACATTATGGCATGCTGACGGTTAGTTTGATTGTAAAACTATTTATTTATAAAACTACTATTGGAAGAACTATTTTTAAGTGATTTTTTTCAATAAATATAGGTGCTCGGATGCACAACAGTTCCAGCCATACCCATTCAGGACTGCGAACGGTCAACGTGAATTATGTATTCCAAAAGTGGCCAAATAACACGGCGCTTTATTATATCGAGCCGGGAGCGTACAGTGAGTGCTTTTATTTATAACGCATCTGATAAAAACTGTTGTACAAATATTTGCTAAGTAAAATTTGAGTAATGTAATTATATTTAGTCTTATTTTTATTTTATTTATAATTTTGTATGATTATTTTTGCGTTGAAGGGTTTTATAATGCATATTTTGGGTAGTTTGAGTATTTCGATGATCATAACATGCGTTAAATTCCTGTTGCATAGATGATACGGAATTGGTGTTAATTCGACGCGGGTTACTGCGCGTAATGTCCGACATCCACATGTGCGCCACATTCGTCGAGGTACTGCCCAATGATCCGCGGTTTAAGCTGCGCATAACACCGAGAAATTTTGACAAGTATGTGCCGCATAATCCAGGAGCCGATTATTGTCTTCATGTAATTCTGGGTTGTACACTATTGTAGTGACTCCTTAGCCGAGTACTGCTATTCGTTGCCGGGAATGGCGGAAATGCAGTACCGGCGCGGCGATGTCGAACAGCGCCTGGTTATCACGCGGGGCCAGCATGGATGCCTGAACAGCCTTCACCGGGTCATGAAACTATTCGCGATTGTACTGGGGAAACGTAATGAATATCAGCGTCCAGATCGCGATTTGTATATTGCCCTGAATCCTAGCGCAGTTATTAACCGTAAGTTCGACTAAGAAAATTAAATAAAAATTAAGCTTGAAATTTTGATCTTCACCAGAAAAAATCAGAATATTTATTAATTTACTATGTTGCAGTGTAGCAGATTTAACAGTTTCCGTGTTTTTGACAGCGATGCTGCAGCACGCGTATAGACCTGTAGAAAAAATCAGAATATTTATTAATTTACTATGTTGCAGTGTAGCAGATTTAACAGTTTCCGTGTTTTTTACAGCGATGCTGCAGCACGCGTATAGAAAATACGAAACTACCGAGGCGTTCTCGGTGTGCATGTATGATTACTGCTCCATTACCCACGCGTCGGAGTACGAATATTCCCAAACGGGACAGCCGGCGTTCACTGTGCTCCAGCCGCCGCATTTTATTCCCCAGCTGGAGGTAAGTGTAGGCGGTAAATAAACATGAAGAAAGTTTGCTCAGACGTCAGGTGTTGCCTGATATATTCCAGCGATTAAGTGAATGCGACTGTCAAGAGTTGATGGATCTCTATGGATGCCCGACTGAACGATGTGCCAAGCGTACGTACCGAAAAACTAGGCAATCGAGAATAGCAAGCAAAATTTATTCGTAATAAAATTTTTGCTACGTTTAGTTACCTCCTGGCCATCGGTGCCGTTTGCGGCCGTGGTGGAGTAACGCTTAAAAATATGTTACTTTGCTGATTAAATAATTACTATAATTAATACGTTTATTACTAATATTAGTATTATTAATAGGTACGTGAACACAATGAATTCCAGACACTTTTTAAATTTATTGAAGACAAAATTTATCAACACCTTTTTTATTACAATGTGTGGTAAACCATAGTTATGCTGTATGCATGTTATGCTCTATGAAATAAAACCAGAGCTGATTCGAACAAAATAGTACAGTATATGCGGCAAATTACGTGTTAAGTGTTCATTCTGTAATCCAGCTGATATATACTTAGTAATCGTAAATTATATAAACTGTGTTTTTTGTAGCATTGGCGTTGAACAATACTTATCGCTGCTGATCTGCTGAATTGCTGTGCTAATCTACAGAATTCACGTACAAATACTGTTAAACAGAGTGTTTTTAATTTGACTTCGTCATTTATTTTAGTCAACTGTGCTGCCGAAGTTCCACCGGCTAACCCTGCCACCTTTCCCACATTCGCACCCAACCCAACAATCCCAACGTTCCCGACATTCCCCACGTTTCCGCCTCCTCCACCGGTTCCACCCTTCCAGACATTCCAGCCGTTTCCTACATTTCCCACTTTCCCTCCGCTTCCTACATTCCCGCTTTTCCCCACGTTTGACCCCAATCCGCCGGCAACCACACCGGCACCTATGACCTTTCAGCCCTTTCCTACGGGACAGACCTTCCCACCGTTCCCAACTTTCCCACCTTTTCCCACATTTGGCCCCAATCCTCCCGCTACCACACCGGCACCGCTTACCTTTGAGCCCTTTCCTACGGGGCAGACCTTTCCACCATTCCAAACGTTCCAGCCGTTCCCAACGTTTGACCCAAATCTTTCCATTACTACACCGGCACCGCAGACCTTTCCGCCATTCCCGACGGCGCCACCGGAAGTGACCACCACGGTATCGGTCACCGATCCCACGACCACCATCTGCTACACAATGCCGACGGTAACGGCACCCGTGCAATTTGCGGCGGTTACGACACTCCAACCCAGCGTTACCGGAGCGCCAGTGGCGACCACCACATGCACAACGCAGATCGGTAAAATACTAAATTAGTGTTTAAATGCGTACAATAAAGTGTTTAAATGCGTGTTAAGTGTTTAAGTGTTAATTAAGTGTTAAGTGTTTAAATGCGCATAAGTTCATTTTACTGGTATAAAGCATTAACCGTGCCTACCGCGAAATACGATGAAATAACCCAGATTACAAATTTCAGCAAGGCAACGTTTTTTGTAGGAAACTCTGGAATCGATCGTTTCCAAAGCAGGGCATCATTTCGCGGCGACAACCTAGAGCTTTTCAATAACGTTTTCGAAGCACCGGGTGCGTAATTATTTTTCCATATAATCGAGTTTCTGATTTGCTGGGGTTAATGTTTGGTTATTTATTTAAAAATTTAGCGCATTATCGGGAGAAGCGAGCACCCCGCCAGCGGATAAAGAAACGCCCATTCCTTCGCGTCACGGACACCGATCCAAAGTATCAGAAATGGCCGGACGGTATCGTCAAATACTACATCGACAGCAAATACAGTAAGGCATCAATATCATTCGGCATATACTCTGTATGCGTATAAACATCAAAATCTAACGGATACATAGTTATAAATGTACAAATAAATATGCGAAACTTGCAAGAAAGAATACGGAAATACAAAATTTAAAATGTTAAATTAAATAATTTAATAATACGCTACTTAAAATTAAAAAGTGCCGCATTTTAATTAATAAACTACTTTAGCTCCCATGGAAAAACAGTACATCGAGAGAGCCATCAACACCGTGACCGCCAACTTGAAAGGCTGTATAAAATTTGAGCCGGTCTCTCCTGACCTCGAAGAATTCAAGCTGAAGATCACACCGGTGACCGACGACGGAGCGGATGAGAAGCAGTGCTATTCTTTTCCCGGCATTTACAAGGAATTCATGTCCGGCAAGGAACAGCGCATGGTATTGGCGCGCGGAACACAAGGCTGTCTGGGCGGGACCAAGTACAACATCCTGAAATACTTTGCTCTTGTTCTCGGCCAGCGGACGGAGCATCAGCGCCCGGATCGCGATGATTTTATCGAAATTATTAAGGATAATATACAGGACGGTTAGTCAAAGTCAGTAAAGCGCTTTCGATGGCGACACTCTCATGTCTGTATAATTAACAGTAAATATTTATTGTGTATCTAAACGTGTTATGCATGTATACCTGAACATACAGTAGAATAACTATATAACTAAAAGTAATTTTAATAAAAAAAACGGTTGCACATACGGAACGTACAGATATACATTGTAAATGTAACTATTCCATGAATTTAAGTGGATAGTACCATATTTATTGTGCATTTAAAATTAATCTACAGACTCTGTAAATGGCTGATTAGTTGCTTGTTTCAGTGCAAATTAAACAATTTTGTGTAATTTTAAAGGGATGGAATTTGCTTATGACAAATATGACTGGAGCACAGCGACGAGTTCATTCAAGTACGACTATTGCTCGGTAAGGCCAGCAGTTATAAAAGAAGGAACATAATATTATTGTATAATCATATGAACACGGGATTCCGGTTCCGTTCGAAAGGTCACGCATAATCAACCGGAAGTGTTCGCCAAACCGGGATTAGAAGCGTTCAAAGTAAAGAATCCGCCGTACCGTATTCCCATGCTGGACTATCTGTCGGAAGGCGACTGCCATGAAATCATGACGGCATACAAATCCGATAAAAATAAAAAATGCGACGCGAAGCAGTGCGATCCAGGTAGCGTATGATGCCTGAGCTGCAAGCACGCCAAGCAAGGTGTTGTCTGTGTTACAGTTAAATGCTTCGACATGACGACAACAACGACAAGCACAAGCACAACCACAACAAAACCGACCACGACAAAGACCTCTCCGACAACCACCACGAAAACAACGACGACAAAGCCCACTACGACAACCACATCGACAACACCGTCCACCACAACCAAAACGACGACTAAGCCAACCCCACAACACCCAAGACGACGACGGTGACAACGACGAAACCGACCACCCAAACGACGACGCCGCCTACAACGAAACCGACAACAACAAAAACGACAACCACACCAACCACCACCAAGACGACCACGACGCCAACGACAACCAAGTCGGCAACGACTCCAACGACTACCAAGCCGACAACGACAAAAACGACGACAAAGCCCACAACAACACCGACAACAACGAAGCCGACAACAACACCTACTACTACGAAACCGACGACAACAAAGATGACGACAACACCTACTACTACGAAACCGATGACAGACCAACAACAACGCCACGCTAACGAAAACCGACGACAACAAAGATGACGACAACACCTACCACAACAAAGGCGACCACGAAACCGACGACAACGAAGCCAACAACCACCGCGACAACAACAAAACCGACGACAACCAAGCCAACAACCGCCGCGACTACAACGAAACCGACGACCAGACCAGCAACAGCCATCGCTACAACAAAAGCAACGACGACACCAACCACCGCTAAACCAACTACAACCACATCGAAACCAGCGGCTACAACAACCAAGCCCACAACGAGAATGACGACCCCAACCACCACAAAACCCACAACAGCAAAGCCCACGCCTACCACAACAAAGCCACCGACGACACCAACAACACCGCAAACCACTGTCACGACTACCAAGACTTCCCCAGTAACAGCGAAACCAACCACATCTGCTACCACAAAACCCACCACGAAACCGGCAACAACCATTCCCGTCACCACCAAAACCCCGACCACAATTAAGGCGACTACCCCAAGCACGACAACCAAACCAACCACGTCCAAACCAACATCACCCTCAACTGTAGCACCTACGACAACGCAAAAGCCGACCACGAAACCAACGACTCCGGTAACATCTAAGCCAACAACTACCGTTGCCACAACGAAACCTACGACAACCACGGCGAAAGCGACCACTGCAGCGTTGAATACCAAGCCGACCCCGACCCGACCCACAACGAAGTCGACCGTAATATCAACTCCGACTACAACAGAGCCTTCGACACCAACAACGCCTCTGACATCGAAACCGACGACAGTTAGTGTGACCAGTAAGTCGACGAATCCGCCAACAATCGGGACTCCAACGACCCGAACATCCATATCTACCACCGCCAGTACGCAGTTTACTGCAACCACGAAAGCGACAATCACGACGGTGGCAACTTCCGCCGGTACGTTACCACCTGTGACCGTTGTAACTAATCCGCCAACACCTATGGTAACGCCACCGCCGACACCGATGCTGACGGCACCGCCCGTCACGTTTTCAACGAACTCCCCAACACCGGCACCGACGACTGAGTTTACCACGACAGCGGCATCGATGACCACGCAGAGCAACCAAGAAACGACGACAGTCTGCTTCAATGTCAACGCTTTGCCTTTTGCGCCAACCACGGTTTCGGTGCAGGCAACGCTCAGTCCGAATAGCAACGGGCAGACTGCCATCGTAGCGAATACGCTTTGCTCTACGCCATCTCGAGCTGCATCCAACTCGAGATCCAATGAAGGACGAGCGTTTTACTAGATGCTATTTTAATTTTCAAAAATCGACGTGTAATCAGCGGTTTTTAGTAAATTATTTTGTGGCGCTGTATTTCTCAATCTGAAGCTTATTTATTTGCCTAAGCGATTTCATTTATTATAACATTCTTCAAAGTTCACACAATCTTATTGCTAGTTGTAGCAAACCTCACCCATTACTGTTCAGCAGTATAGCAACGGTCATGTACTCTTATTAGATCTTATGATACGAACAAATGGTTAGCAGACAATCGTTTACATACATCGTCTGCAAATGCCGGTACATAATTCGATCTAATACGCGCTAGCGTAACCGTCACGCCGTGGTTGAACGTTCGATGAGCGTCCCATGGGCATGACGTGCCAGGGCGCTTTACCGCACTGCTCGCTGTAGGTCTTATGGGCTTCAACGATGCCGTCCCAAAAGTCCACCATGGCGCCGGTGTCGGCACTGCTGCTTTCCAGTTGTCCCGCTTGGGTCAGCTCGAAGAACTGAGGCCGCTGTTTTGAACGGGACCCAATAATTCTTCTAACAGTAAGTAACCACAATGGTTATTGTCAATCATATTTGTTAGAACGATTTGTTTTCCTGTTTGTGCAACACGCTGGTAAAAGTTTAGCGGCAAATAAGTGTTTCGAAATATATTAACCCTACCCTATATATGCGACATCTTGCAGCATCTGGCGAATACTACTGATGACCTGTTTATTAGGTTTCAAATGTGGCAACTGTTGGGACGGGTAAAATATGTTGCTGACGTCAAATGTATGAAATGCACCTGCACAGTAATAAGTCCACTTGTACAGCAATCAGTTGTAAATGATTTTGAACTGTAATATTACATAAGGTCAACACACCTAAGTTATTCCAGTCCGGATTGTAGTTGAGTCGAAACAGGGTTGTCGCTGCTCCGTTTACATTAGGAGCTCGTTCAGCTTCATAAAACCGGACTTCCTTGCCGGCCGGGTAGCCCATTAGTGCATCGGTAGCCAGCTGCAAAATTTTGCTCATAATGTGATGTATCCATTTGATCTTCTTTACATAATTAAAATTAAACTGGTTGGCCCGCGATTCGACCAACAAGGCCCTCTGCAGGAATACATGTAATTGTTGAATAACATTTTAAAGCAGCTGCGCTTAGTTCGATATACTGTCTCACATAATACAACTTCCACAGCGTTGTCGATCGATCATCAGATGCGGACAGATTGTAATGATCAGCCACTGTTTTCGCCAAATCGAGGTTCGGTGTGGTGCAATTTGGCGCGCCGCCGTTGGGCAGAAATTCCTTGGCGATCATGAGTATGATTTGGCCGAAATTAACAGGTGTTTTTGGATTGAACAGTTCTGGATGAATAACTGCAAATACATGTAGGAATCAGAGACAAGTGATTCCCAATCGGAATGTCATTACGACGCGTTTGGTACTGCTTAAAATCATTGAAGCGTCCTCGTGTAAATATCCCGTAATAATTCCGGGACCCTTTGATGCGTCGACTGCTGCTGCTTGGACGGCCTGGAATGGGATGTCCTTCAGATGGATGCCGTCGATCACTAAAGCGTATGGAAACATCCGCTGAAAATGATTGTAATTAATCGATGTTCTGTTATTTCAAGCGAACCACCCGTCCATTGAAAAACGCTTTTCGTCGTACGCATATTTCAAAAATTGATACAGATAACAATTGCATAATTATTTACAATTTTGTTTACCAATAAACGAAGCACTTTTTTATTACCGAATTAAAATTGAAAAAATAGGCAAAGAAGCTTTTTTATTTTGTCAGTAAATTTGTAAATTACAGTAAATGAAATTGGAAAGAATCTAGTAAAAACATGCTACGCTCCGTGACAGGATAGTATTCAGAATAATATTAGATTAAACGTAACATATGTTTCTGCCTTCCTACATAATTGCAGTGTGACAGAGCCGCTTGCACTCACCGGGTTGCCGAATTCAAACAGTTTTGCCGAATCGAGCAGCTTCTTCACCGGCTGACGTTTCAAGCAGTCGATAAGAACTTTGAAGCATCGAAGGGACAGCCAACCTGCCCGGCAAGTTCCACAGCATCTCTCTTTGGTTCGCGGACATAAATCGAATCGATAAGAATACTTCCGCTGAATGATACGGAGGCCCGTATGGATTCTAGGGATGCCAAATAGCGTAATCGCTGCATTCAGACACGACACTACCTGGTACTGTAACACTCAACGAAATAACCACTCATATATGTCAGAGATATGCAAAAATATGTGCAACGTGCAATTAAACAGCTAAACAGTATTACATATTATTGCACCGATTATCCGGTTACTTACTCCGAACATTGGCATCGAGAAGCATGGCGGAAGTGGCGAACGCACCAGCGCTTTCACCAAATATCGTGATGCCCTTCGGGTCACCATGGAACTTGGCAATATGGTTTTTAATCCATTGCACAGCCAATTTGCAGTCACCAAGGCCGTAATTACCACTGGCAGCATCGTCACCGGTGCTTAAAAAACCTGTTTTTAAACAATCGTTCCAAAGGTTTTCCGTTTAGTTACTTTGTACTTGTTATAATTTAAAAATTTTTTCGTGTAATTCAGTCCCGTTTACCATATAAGATAGTTTAAAGACTAATGTTTTTTATTCGTATTTACCGAAGACCGACAGCCGGTAGTTGATGGTGACAACGACAGTTTGGGTTTCTTCTGCCAACTGTGTAGCGTTGTAATCGTCCTTATACCCCACTGTAATAGCACTGATGATAAGCCGCTGGGTTACGCACAAGTTTTCTTAAAGTTAGCCAAAATGTTTACGCTGAAATCCGCCGCCATAAATCCACATCATAACCGGGAAGACATCTTTCTGGGACTTTACAGGCGGCACGTAGATATCCAGATACAGACAGTCTTCGCTCATAGTCTTATTGGCGTTGCTGCCCCATGCCGCTGGCAATGGTCCTTGGGGACAAATGGGACCTTGTCGCAGCCTCGAAGCATTGCGCAAGTAAGAGTAATCCTGATTTTCCTTGGAATGCTGCGCAACGAAGGGGTTCAGTTAACAAAAGCTGATTATTATTAATAGAATTATATGTACTCGACAACTTTACTTCGAAACGCCGAGCAGTTCCATAGCGAATGCCGTAATAAACATATCCGACAGTCTTGGGATTGTTAACCGACACGTACGGCTCGCCGACAACGCTTGCGCCTGGGACGACTTCGATTTGTCGAGCTGATAGGCAGTTTACATACACAGATAAAAACAGTGAAACGGTAAACTGCGCCGGCATTTCCCTGCTGTGTCTTAAATAACAGCAAAAGAATAAAAGTTTTATCGCTGAATATTTTGACAAACACAATAAAAAGCATCGACACAGGAATTTCTCAGGGATTATACTGACGTTATAATAACCGAGAAATTTTTCTAAAGCCGCCCATATCTAGAACGGACATGATACCGCACGAGACATGTGATAAATCGTTTTGCATTACCACACTTACGTGCCTAGTTTACAGCATCATGCAACATTTTGGCGCAAAACGTTCACAGCAGACCGTGCAAGGCTCTGTAAAACGCTTATTTTTAACTGCAAAGCCTAAATGATTCTGTATGGTACGGTCTAGTGAACAATCGCTTGCAGTTACTTGGGTTACTGATCTATCTCACTTACGATGTGTTACACTTCTTTGTAGGAGTTTCTTTATGGCCTGCTAAGATCATCAAATTACGCAACGTTTACAGTATACCACCAGTACAATTAAACCTATAAAAACATTTTATTAACATGTTGTGAGTATTATGGCGCTACGCTTCGTGCTTTCAGTTGTGTCAATTAGAATAAATAAACGTCTTCACCGACATGGCGAAAAGCTGTTTCAGTTGTGCAATCAGTGGTGTGTTGGATTTTACAGAGCCTAAGACGCTAGACTACTGCTGTAGACCATTTGTACGAAAAGTTAAGACAATACTCTTTGTCCATGGGACCGTCAGGTCATGCCTGCAACTGACCAACCGATGTAACTCTACTTTCCGTCGGTCGCTCATATTTGGCTGATTTTTTTTCCACAAAAATGAATACAAGTAGGGTACTTACAATACTAGTACAGTACTTGGCTCATTTGTGCGTACAGAGGGTTATTCAGCCAAGTGTGGTCACTTTTTGGAAAATTTCTGCTTAGCCGTTGCAGGCTTATTTTACTTTTTTAAAAATTTTATCAGATAACCACAACATTTAATCATATTCTGAATTCAACCGAGCCAAGATTTCGCTATCCTGTAGCCCAGGAAAAAATTAAGTTTATCCCCCCCATGTTGGCAACAGTTGACCAGTTCAGCTATAGGAAATGGATTCCCTTTACTCAAAATTAATTTAAAATTTGGGTTTTCGCCATAATCCATTGAAAACCTGTCAGGGTTTCGAACAATCCTTTTCAGAAGGAATTACTAGTTTTTCGATCAGGAAGCAACATCCTTGTTTTTCAGCAGTGCTCCCGGGAGCACATCTCTGGTTCTGGATGACTTCTTCCTCTCTGCCAGGCTTAATCATGGAGCGTCCTTTTCGATCAATGAACATTGTAAATTGTGAAGAAAGACCTGCGTTACAACTTTAGTTTGTGGAGGAACGAAAAGGATAGCTATAGCTCCGTGAGTAAGAATTCGCACAATGAGCATGGCTCCTGCGAGTGTCTTCCTGTTTTCGCGTTTTTCCAACCGTCCTACCGCAAGAACGCGCAAGAATATGGAATCGTTTTTGCTGAAAAATATTCGGATCGTCGTTTTTACAATTAAAACCATCCAGATTTGAAAAGCAGACGATCCTTTTAAGGCCAGATCATCGAAAGCCAAATTTTGCCTGGTCAAAGGTTTAGAGTCGGAGTCTTTAGGTCAGTAGCCAATCTTGCGGGCTGTTTAAGCTCGATTGTCACAAAAATTTGCAAAAAGCATCAAAACTAATTTGTCATAATAAAACAATTATTAGAATCTGACTCTGCGCTACAGCTGAATTATAGGAATTTTTTTAATGCGCTGACCACACTTGGCTGAATAACCCTCTGTACTTACGGTATATAAAACGGTGTGCACAAGCGTACGCTTTTTTGCGAGCTTTGTTTGGAAAGCCGAATCGCTTGTATGTATGCGCATTATGTGATAGAAATTATCGTATTTTTTATGAAAGAATATAGTTATTTTACTATTCAAAATCATACAGCTCTTCGATGCTTCTTGAAACACATCGGTTGAAGAGTTGTGGTACATAAATGGCGGAGAATAAAACATTCGTCAAGCCACTTCGAAATGTCTTTGTACACCTTTTCTTTCAATATGCTCCATAGTTGCCACTGGGACAAGGGGTCTGAGCTACTTTATCCCAAAACTCAGCCATGCTAAGAATGTCGTAATCGCCGGTGCGCCATTCCGCCGACTGCCCCAGCTCCATGTATCCGTATCGGGTGTCCGGAGAAAACGCAGTGCCTTCCAATTTCCTGTTCACATTGACACTTTTGTTAATAACATCATATTCTAAAAGCTTTTTATTGCATTCTTCTTTATGCTAACTAAAGTAGCCAAGTCATAAACGCGAAGGAAAAGAACTAAAGTTGAAAAACATACCCAGTGTACGCTACTTGGCGTAACACGCTTTGCAGACTTGTTTTTAATCGCGGATCGTATGTTTGGTTAGGGAGCAGCAACGCCGGGCCGAATAAGTAAGGCAGCTCCATCATATGGAAAGCGCCTGTGTGCAAGAGTTTCAGTTAACAATGTACATATGCAGGCTAAATACTTCTGTAAACGAGGACAAAATTACTAACCTAGACCTTGATAATGCGAATCATAAATGATGCGCAATAACTGCACGGAATTCCCAGCCAATTTCGCCGCGGAGTACAAGAGCGCCTCTTTCGCTGCCGGATAACCTTGCGTCGCCTCGCTGGCCAGCTATCGAAAAACGTTAACAGCTGATGCACCCACTGACAGAAGTTAGCTTACATGAAATAATTTCCATAATTTGTCTTCCCGTGCATCGGTTTCCGTAATGTTGTAATGCTGCATGACGGTGTCCGCGAGGGCATAATTGGGTACTGCACATAGTGGTCTCCCGCCTCTGGGAAGAAATTCCGTGGCGACAACCTGGCGAATGTCGTTTACGGTTAGTGGTTTGTCCGGGTTGAAAAGATCGGGATTTGAAGCTGGATATAAGAAATACAGAAGTACACAACTTGTTTTGATTGGTACAAAGTGTCTGTATTAGTAAAACTTTATACTTGCCAGAAAGAATGATTGACATATCTTCTCGGAGATAACTTGTGACGATGTGGGGAATTCTGGATGCCGATGCGTTCAACGCAGCCGACAGTGCTTGCAGCGGCGTTCCATGAATATGCTCGTTGTCCGTTACCAGAGCCCACGTCGAAGCAATGTAAGATAAAAGCTTGACATTTATGGAGCTTGACTTTTGTTCGGGTAGGTTTTCAACATGAGATATTACAGATACGGAGTTAAATATATTTTGTAACTATTATATTTTAAGGCACAACATAGCGCATTTTATTCTTCATCAAATATACGCATAAACTTGATGTTATGTTGGAGACAAAATTAGGTAAAACGCGCAACAAATTTTGCTTACTGGGCTGGGTGGCTGGACTGCCCGGGCAGCATGTGCCAGTCGCTGGAACGGCAGAGCTTTTAAACAGTTAACCAGGTTCGTTGTCGTGTCTATGGGGCATCCAGTTGCGCCACCCAAGCGCTGAGCGTTGTTCAACGGATCACGGATGTAGGCCCAGTCCATTAACATACTACCGCTGAGCATTACCACATTCTGGATCATATCTGCTTAAATAAGATAGTTACAAGCGCAGTTAGACTCGGACAAACCGTTTACCTCGCAGGATGGGGTCCAAGAGCATCACGGAGATAAAAGCTGCCCCGTCACTTTGTCCGACTAATGTCAGTGCATCTGGTCGTCCAGCGAATCTGCCAATGTTCTTGCGGATCCATGTCAGCGCTGTTATACTGTCACCAAGTCCGAAATTACACTTCGCGGCATCGTCGCCGGTACTTAAAAAAGCCTAAAGAGCAGACAAGAAACGGTACCGTAATTCGTAAATTTGGAATAACAAGATGTTCTCAGGGCAGATGATTGGTAACTGAGGGACGAAAAAACCGGTGAGAATGTAAAATGTGCTGGTATTAGTGAATAGTGAATATATACGTACAGTAGTACCAAATGCAGACAGCCGATAGTTGACGGTGACAATGACGGCACGAATGCCATCCGCCAATGTGGTTCCATAACTTCCATTGTATCGATCCTTACTTCCAACTGCAAACCAAAAGTTATTGTGTTTAAAAAATTAAGCTATTTATGCTTGTCTGGCAGCTGTGTGCAGATCAGCGAGTTCGAGCAACGGTAAAACGTGTAATACACTCCGTGTACCAGTACGACAGTCACAATCATCTGAACTGCCATTCATACAAGTATCCAAAATAAGACTGGACTGTTCAGCAAAAGCTAGTATAAGGCGCAACGGTTGTAATTTCTTCGATTTTTTGTGCCGGTGTGCAGTGATAAGCATGGTTACACTGTATGTGCGTAGCTCCTTAAATATTTGATGTTCATTGTACCTTGCAAAGCTCCGCCATGGAACCACACCAATACGGGAAAGGTCTCCTGCACATTGCGCAAAGTAGGCGGGGTGTAAATATCCAAATACAGGCAGTCTTCGTCTACAATTGTATCGTCAATTAAAGGAAATCCTGGCAAAAAGCCTTGTGGACAAGCGTGGCCTTGTTTTAAGCGAGACGAATTTCTTAAATAAGAGTACTCCGTGTTTTCCACTGATGCCTGCAAACGTAACTCATGTGTACTGTACAGTGCAGGCAGACATTGACGTGACCGTTTATGTAGGCGATAAAATTGATAAAAACCCAAAACTCTCAGAATGTTTTGAAATACCAACAAAATGCGCTATGCTTACTTCGAAGCGTTTGCTGATGCCGTAGCGGATCCCATAGTAGACATATCCAACCGTTCCTGGATAGCTTTCGGACGCATAACTTTCACCAGTGAGCGGCGTGTTGTCTGGAAAAATGGCAGTTCCCGGTTCACCGTTAGTGTCTTTCAGAATCAGAAAAACTGAGAGTATTAAAGGGAAAATATTCGCCAAGATAATCGGCATGCTTGTAGGTGTAGGTAACGTGTGATCTACCAATTCGCTAGCGATACCGCTAAAATCGTTGGAAGCATGATTATTTAAATACGCAAAGAAGTAAATTTCCACGCAATGAGTAGTTTTGTTCGTACGACCTTTTTACATAATTATTATTGTTCGTTCTGTGCGGAACAGACGGTCAGGTAAAACTTTGCTGATGAAAACTGCTGTGGTGGCCTTGTGAGAACGCTTTAATCCTGCCGGTTTTCTCAGCAATCAATCACTAGTACATGTATTTGCTACATTTAATGCACTAAGACAAGCAATCAGCTTTCGTTGGCCAACTTTATTAGTACACGTATAATTCGATGCATAAAAAACCATTTGCGAGCACAGAATCGAACATAAAATTTATCCCTGTCAGCGCATATTTACACATTAATCAAGGTGAACTTCTGATTGTCACTAAATTTCTTATCCTATTTTTTCCTCATGGGCCGTCAGCAGAACACTTGTAAGTTGACCCCTGGTTCGACGCGCGTTGGCTTGCATCCCGGAAAAATAAATAACAACAGGTATCAAATATTGCAATAAGAAGCAAATTTCCACAACACGAAACAGTAAAAAAGGCTTACCCATTGTTTTGCCTGCAAATCAATCTGATACGGTATGTGAAGCGCTGATTAGAGCCGTCGTTGTATTGATAAAACACGATGTGCCGCTTGGTCGGATCGTTGACATCGAAAACGTCAAATACGATGTTGGTGTAATCGCAGCGGACGAAGAATGGCCGGTTAGGATCGAAACCCATGTTCCAATAAAGGGTAAAAAATCTAAAAAAGGCTTCTGCAAATACAACCCGACCTCTTAGAATTGGCACAAAATATGTATTTGTACGCACAAAAAGGGATAATTGAATTCTGTTGTTTTTACGCATTAAATGTGTGAGCTCACGTGTTTCTCGTACCCCTTTGAACGGGTACTCGTATGCATAGAATCTTTTACACAAATTTTTTTGGCAAAAGAGTATAGTCCTTCGTCGCGAGTACAGACTGTATGTCGCGATAATTAGTCTGCTTGTTGATTTGTTTGCTTAATTCCTGTGTGAAGGTTAACATTCCATTTAAAGCATTCGCATAAACGCTGCGCTAAGTTGCAGATGTTAAGGCAGTGGACAAGGGATGGATTTTAATATCTTAGTTATGTGATATTCTGATAGCATGTCGTGCAGCTAAATAATCGCTGTCAAAACCGCATCAGCACAGTATTGCTCATCGTGGATGCGCAGATTACAAATTTATGATTGTGGTACGTTCTATTTAAGCGGCGAATGCCGGAGATAGCACATATTTGATCAAAGACATAGCTTTCTTTACTCAGTGTAAATACGCAGTAAGAATTTCAGGAAGTGTATAAAAGCGAGTCGAAGTTATCACAAACTGTTAATTCGCTATTTTGTAAGACGTAAGCATGCTTCACATGGCCCTTTGTGAGAGCCTGAGAGGAGTGTACTCGTAATAGAGGGTGTTATCCCAAAAGGCGTTTGAAACACCAAGTCAAACACTATCGAATTTACTGTGTCAGCACTCGTGCATGTACTCGTACAAAATGATACAAATCCCAAACGCAAAGAAACATTTGACACAGATTTTGCCTTAAAATTACGCTTTAACAGGCAGTTATTTAAACGCTCCCGGACACGGCTGATTGGCTATGTCCTGCCAATAATTCAGCATTCCCGCAAGGTCATACGTGCTGGCTGACCACTGTCCATCCAGGCCCAACTCGTTAACTCCGTAAGCGCTGTTGCTCTGCAGGAAAGCGGGGCCGTCCATTCGTCTAAAAGAGACAGCAAACGACGGCATCATAAAACTGAATTATCTTGCCGATTAATTTCCATTACGAGTACAGTTTGTAGTTTTTATAACCGAAGTATTACCCTTTGTGCGCCACTTGGCTGAGCATGCTCCGATAGCTGACTGTCAGGCGAGGATCATATTTTTCACCGGGGAAGAGCTGCCATTGTCCGAAAATGTAGGCTAGCTCCATTGCGTGAAACGCCCCTAAATCAAATACCTTAGTTAGGCTTAGTTAGTAATCAACGTATGTAGCGACTGTACAAGCTTGTCCGGTAATTTCTGTCGTAAAGGTACAGAATACAGATAGCACATATTTAGCGCGGAATTTGCGCTATAGCGATTGCCACTACACTACGTTTGGCGTAACACGCAAATTTGTGTACTGTACTGACACCCTGCACTCGGAGAAAGTTTTAGCTGTGCAGCCACGCGTGCGTTGTACGACTGCGTTCACTGCTCACATACACGGCTTGCAACTGCATGCAGACTGCTGGCTATTGGCCGAACGCAATCGGCTTTAAATCCACCTGTCTACAGTACCGTGCTGCTCATACTGTACAAAATTTCTCCAAGTGCAGGGTGTCAGTACAGTATCTCGCTGTTTTGAACCGGCAGAAATTACCGGGCAAGCTTGTATATCCACCAACACAATGTCACATGCTCTAGATGCGTCGTGTCATGTTCACTTGAAAATTGTTTTAATTAATAATTCACAGGTTGCCTAATAAAGTTAATAAGTACGGTAGCAGGTTGTTCAGCAGACGAAATTTATTATTTGCAGCGCCGTATTAGTTTCCATTGTAACGTACCCCATCCTTTGTAGTGCGAATCATATATTGTTCGAATCAGCTGTACTGATGGTCCTGATGGCCAGGCGTGTTTGGCGTACATCAACGCTTCCTTAGCTGCTGGGTAACCTTGTATAGCATCGGAAGCCGGCTGCAACGAAATTCATTCCAGAACTCTTAGAGCACAAATTAGTTGTCAGAATTGTAGTTCGTAGCGCACACGATAAAACTTGTCTGAAAAGGGCTTCCTCCTGTCGTGTTCCGACATATTATAGTGTTGTATAACACGATCGCCCAAGTGTGTGTCGGGTATTGGGCAAAGCGGTCGTGCGTCACGTGGCAGTAAATATTTGGTGATAACATTACGAATGGCACGGAAGGTCAGTGGAGCTGAATTAAGCACGTCCGGTACCACCGTACCGACACTGAAGAACAGTAATTAAAACGCCATACTTATATATTTACTTACTCTAGAATCAATTTATTAATGGATTTACTTTAATACCAAAAACAAAAAATATTTAGAAACGTTCTATCTGTACTGTATTTTTTATTCGATAATGAGTAAGATGATCGTATTAATACATATTTGTTACTGAACGCAGATAACTGTTTTGATCTACTGTCTTATAGGCGTCGTAAAGTGTACCTAACTACAAAGTCAAAAGACTACAAGACTTACAAGTTAATGTTAAAGAGGCATCTTCGCGCAGATAACTGGTGATAATATTTGGGACCGGTGTATCCACTATCCAGCGTCTGTTGGAGCGCACGCAGCGGCAAGTCTTGGATGTTATCGTGGTCAACCACAAAACCGAAAGCCGCATTAACCTACAACAAGTTTTCTCAAACAACGAGCGCATGTATATTAATTCAGCCTTACCGGTATCTGGACAATCGTCAGCTGAGCCTTCTGGAACTGATTCTGTGGTAGCGCTTTCAGGCAGCTGACCATTCCAGTGGATGTATCTGTGGGACCTCCCGCAGCCGTAGCGACCTTCTTCGCGTTGGTCATCGGATCACGAATGTAGGCCACCGTCGGATCCACCAGCACGCTGCCGCTGAATGCTACAGTTGCGTACGTCATGCTTGCAACGTGAACGTCGTGCTGCATACGTCATGTCAGCTTACCGTCGTTGTCCTTGACAATCAAAATTAGTTCTGGTAATAATTATTGCAACATATGTCATCAACATACCTTGCGGTCTGCAGATACATAAGTATCGGTCTAACATTGCATAAATACAGCCTTGTTTTCAGTATAAAACAAAATTAGCGCTTTTGAAATCACCAGGAAGTAATATTGACCCTGTAAAATGTACCGCGAATAGCAGGATCGAGCAGAACCGTCGACACTAAGGCACCGCCACGACTTTGTCCGAACAGCGAAAAGGCGCTTGTGTTGCCGCCGAACTTATCGATATACTTTTGGGCAAATTTTATAGCCGTTTTACAATCACCGATTCCATAGTCGCCTTTGGCAGAGTCGTCCCCGGTGCTCAGAAACCCTGATACGTAGGTTGGATAAGCCGCACCAACATACTGCACAGTTGCAACATTTGTTTTAGGTACCGTACGCAGCCAACCGGTAATTAATGGTGACAATAATTGCACCAATGTCGTCGGCTAATGATGTTGAATTATATTGATCCTTAGTGCCAACTGTAAAGCGGAATCTAAATAAATGAAATAATAATTTTCATTTTAAAACAAACAAACCTTGGAATCCTCCACCATGAATCCACAACATTACGGGAAACGTCCCTGTTGAACTGGAAGCTCGTGGTGGAACATAGACGTCCATGTACAAACAGTCTTCATCAAAAACTTTATCAGTTACTGGCGGCAATCCCTCGAGAAATCCTTGCGGACAAACATTTCCTTGCACGGGTCGTGCAGCATTTTTCAAGTAAAGAAAATCCGTATTTTCAACCGAGGCCTGCTCAGTAAACCGAAAAGCCGATACATAAAATTAAAATGTTTTATCATTAAAATTTGAGTCCAAAGATCAACTGATTCTTAAATTGTTGACGAAAAATCTGACTGTAAAATTCAGAAACTGGAGTCAGTGTTGTGCGTCAGTAGGCGAAGCCAAAAACCGGAAGGCGAAAGTATAATAATGAATTTTATACCTCAAAGCGTTTGCTGGTTCCATAGCGAATGCCGTAATACGCATAGCCGTCGTTACCGGGATACTTGTCGGATGCAAACGGCTCGCCCGTAAGCTGTACGTCATCGCGCAAGTTAACCACGCCATCAGCTGCCAGACTCATTATGATGTTAAGTAAGATTATGCAAATCGAGTTCAGTGCCGTAAACAATAAGTAATAAGTTTTGGCCATTTTCGCGATTTGGTTCAGATATTTTACGCCTGTAGCAAGCGCGTGAATCAATTGAGATTCGGCAAAGTAGATAGGTTCATGTCTAAGAGGCTTTCTCTGGAGAAATAAAAAAATCGAAATGTTTGGTACTGATTACATGAACGATGATAACTGGACTGTTAGTTCGTACTTCGTTTCGTTACAACCTTACGTTAGCCTTAAGCGCTACCGAAGCGCACAGCATTTACTGGGTTACAGTGGTTTTTTTCTTACCGAAGAATGTTCTTGTCTAATTTTATGTCATTTTCACTTTTAGATATTTTTCGCTAATCACTGTAGTGTCGTCCACTGCGAACCGTTGACAATTTTTCGACGAGCCGCTACGTCGTAGATACCGTATTACGTCCCTTCAATTAAATATTCTATTATCTTCAAAGGCAGAGACATGTCGCATAAATTACAATGAATGCCAAAACAGGTGCAATACGCTCACATTTCGTTTCATATAGGTCATAAACCAGACAGAGACTCAGGTAATAAACAAGAACCACCGTAGCTTCTGCAACTGTATTAAACCGATGGCAGGCGAGACATCACGTGAGCGATCGTAAAAATCCGTCATGAGTCTCACGAGACGTAATCGGTTTTGGCGCCAGTGCTTTTGCGCATACATCGCGAAACATCGCGTGTAGCCGGCAAAACAGTTAACATGTTAACGGTTAACGCATTAACATGTGAGCCGGGCTAGAATGTTAACGTTAACATTCCCGCCGGGCCCAAATGTTAACGACCAAAATCAAGCAAGCTATTCACTCAATCTCTGTAGCAAAATTATAATAATTATTATTGCAAATCACGAGTCATGGGCTAAAATCAAGTTCAAGCCACATTTACCTACAGTAAATTACACTTTAAGTCCCGTACGAGTTGGCTGCTCTTATGTCTTGTGATGGTTATAAGAATACTCACCTTGTTCGCGCAGTTGACCAGCCATTAACTAAAATTTAGCTCAATCACATTAAAGCCAGACTTAAACACCCGTAAGATTTGGCTGCTGATCTGATGTCCTGAATCCAGATAGTGCTAACAAATTTACACTATGGTAATAACTCCGGTGATTACGATTTAATCTAGGCTCCCTTTGATTGCAACATCGGTCTGTGCTTGTTTTCGCAGGGCATGGAGCCCAACTGTTTTAGCGCGTTTCCGGTTTGAAATTTTAATTTCTGTCCACAGCCTTCAGGGATTTGGCCTGGTACATGGTACCAAATTCGCGTACATACGCGAAAACTTATAGTTTCGCGCACCCCCAAACACATTAATTTTAGGTTTTGTTTTATGATGTTTTGTAGCCAGATTACATTTGTATAAACTGGCTTGAAAACCGTTTGTACGCGCAACATCCGGCTCGGGAATTAAAATTGTGAGAAAATTCCAAAAAGTTTTAATGCATTTTGATGTACCAAAAGTCTCGTTATCAGACGATCTTCTTCGAATTTTGCATATAAATGCACATATCCATTAAGGTCGTTTTTACACCGAACCAAATTTTGAAATTCATTTTCAAATTAAAAAAATGGTGCAACTCTGGTTGGGTGTAAAAACGATCTTCATTTGGTTGATAATGAGACTTTTGGTACACCTAAATGCATTTAAACTTTTTGGAGTTTTCTAACAGCCATAACTCGCGAAATCAAAATTTGCGTCCATAAACGGTTTTTACGCCTGTGTATAATATGTCTTCAGAATCTTAAAAAACAAAGGAAGTGTTTCAAAGTGCACGAAAGTTTAAGATTGTACACGAATTTAGTACCACGTACCGGGCCAAATCCCTTAATGGCGCCATAATACGTGCCGGCTGGAATGTTAGCGTCGTTATACTGTAACACGTGTCGGCTGAAATGTTAACGGAGTTATAGCATATGCCGGCTAGAATGTTAACGGCGTTAGAACATGTGCCGGCTCAAATGTTAACGGCGTTATAATATATGCCGGCTCAAATGTTAACGGCGTTATAACATATGCCGGCTCAAATGTTAACGGACCTGTAGCATGTGCCGGCTGGAATGTTAACGGAACGTAACAAATATATAGTCAAAGTAAAGGTTGCATTAAACCTTTTTTCTGTATGGTCAGCGCCGGTACCCTGCATTCTGCACCACTAACGCGCGTGCCGGATAGTGATGTTGACGTGTTAACTACTGTAATTTAATTTTTAAAGGGAAATTTTAAAGTGACAGGGCAAATTCAAGTTTTTAATGACGCTGTCCACCATAGGCAGGCTGAATAAAGCAGCTAAATTCAGTTTTGATCCGTCCCATTCCTCTAATATTCCGAGATTATTATTCTTTAATAACTGCATCTTTAAAAATACCATACTGTACCCGCGCAATGAGAATGCACTGCAGAATGTGGTATACCGAATTCGCCAGACGAAATTGCAGGCTCAACATGAAGGCATTAACAAAAGAACGGGGCTTAATTGGGTTATTCACATTAACATAGGTTAAAAGCAAAATTACGCAGTTCATCATTTCAACACATAATACACTTCGTCCAGTCTCTTAACAAAATGAAAGCGTTAACAGGCGAGTAGGTGTAATGTTAACGGCGTTAACAAGCGTGCCGGGCTAGAATGTTAATGGAGCTAACACGCGCTGGCTGTATACGTCAACAATTCTTACGAGAATACCGGACGCTTAAAACGATGGGTATTTAACATGAGGTTTCCAACGATTCGGTCATTTTGCGGTAACTCGCATGACGCGGCCAGTAGACGGTTTTGAGTTGTGTTAACTTAAAGATATATCAGAAAAATATTACAATACAAGTATCGGTCGCGCTAGCGCGCGACCAGCTGTGTTTGAGGTATTGAACAATGAAAAAATATGTACAAAATATACTTCGTACAGCAATAAAAAAAACTTTGTTTCAAATATAACAAGAAATGTTTCAAATATAACACCCCACCGAGGCCAGCTACGAAAGTATCTTAAACATTAGAAATGCGGAAAGTTTTCAAGCTTTCCGGTTAAATTGGACCAGTTTTATGAAAGCTATGAAAATCTCCGTAATTTTTTTTTCATGGTTCTTTTTCACGGTTATAAAATGGATGGAGTGGGATCATTTACACGATGCCCATAAAAACAATTTTTCGGCGCAGAATTAATGGAATCTTGTGGGGAACAGTTAACGGTCGCCCCAAGCGACCTCGCAGGCTGTATCTTTAGCTACCAACTGTAAGATTTTTTCAGCCATCAGTCAAGCTCGTTAGTAATTACCAAAATAAAATAAATTCATATATATTAGATTTCGAGGTTAGTGAATGCCCAAGCTACCAGCAGTATCCCAGAGCCGCTATGTGAGTAAATACGGTAAACGGGCCACGGGCCGGCTTTTAGATATTTAGAAGGAAACCGTTATAGGCAACCCCTAAAACCCCCGTTTATTATAGGCAAAAATTTTGAGTTGATATTGTATTTAATAATTATTGCATATTATAACACAATAAAATATTATTTACATATTCTGACATTAGTTATTATCGTTTTGCACGGTTGCTATTAAAGTGAAAACTTCGGCGCCGAGGCCATCGGAAGCCATGAACACTGATATACGAGTAGTATTCGCATCACTGGAAAATGTTAGAGGATTCGAAGAATTATGGACATTTTCGTGTGATGGCAGAAGGAAACGCTGTGTAGCCTTTCCTTGAGCAAGTACAAAAAGATTTTTTAAGAATGTGGGCAGTGTGCACCATTGAGGAAACAAAAAAGGGATGCCCTGCTGTCGCCGATTGTCCACCCCCCAGCTGTACCGTAGCGAACAGGTCAATGTAGTATTTCCAGTTGTCCAGCTTTAGTTGTCGGGTCAAACCAGTGCGGTCCAATGGTGTGCTCCCACATTGTTGAACTGATCTCTGGAGCATCGCCCTCGAACACAGCACTCCTAAAGCCGCGGCGAAAGGGTTTTTGGCAGACGTTTTAAAAGCTGATAAAATCTCACGGTGCCTTAAACGGCCAGGAAGAAGCCAACCTTTCTAACACGAAAGATGACCTTCTGGTTACAGCAGAGACGCGGTACTAATTTGCTCTATATTGGCTGATTTGCTAAATCGTTTTATTATCGGCTGGAAGCCTGATGTATTATCGTTTATATCATCGGAATGAAGGCGTTATTATTTATTATCTGAGAACATCTATCGTATACAATATTCATTTAAAAAGGGTGCCTGTAATAAACGGGGTGCAAAAAGGGGTGCCTAAAAGGGCACCCTATTTACAATTACATATAAATTAGACAATTAAGACCGTGAGATATTGAGGTACTTAGACATTTCTAGACGTTCTGAAAATTTCGAAATTCTGGAGGCTCAGAAAAATAGGGGTTACGGCCCCGCTGCGCGGGGCCGAGTCGAAATATTTAGAAATATTTAAAAATTCTAGAAATGTCAAAGCTTTGGAGCCGACTTTAAAAAAATTTAGTTATTTTGGGGTACGAACATGTATTTAAAAACATCTTAAAGGTTTCAAGAATTTAAAAAAAAATTACAATTTTGATGGAATTGACAATTTAAGTAACTACACAGATCTGTAGTTTAGGTTGCTAGGCGGCCAAACATGTTTTTGCTTATTCGAGACGTTTCCAGAATTTATTGGAAATATCTATCCGGCAGTCCAATTTAAACCGCTTGTTAACACCGTTAACATATGAGCTGGCACATGATATAACGGTGTCTCATTTGGGGAACCGTTCATTTCGGAAACTGTTCATTTCGAAAAGATGTGCATATCGGACATATCAGAAATGTTTCCTTCGTTTTTCTTATACTATGCTAATGCTATTCTAATGATTCGGTTCCCTTAGGTTTTCTTAAGTTAACATTCACATTATTTCTTAGGATTCTTAGGTTCTCTTTCGTTTTTAATTTTCTAATGTTATTCCTGTTTTTTTAGGTTTTTTAAACATTAGGTTTTCTTAAAATTTCTTAGGTTTCTTAGGTTTGTTTTTGTTATTCTTAGGTTTTATTAAGTTTTTTGGGTTTTGATAATGTTTTTAAGCTTTCTTATTTTTGTTATTTGTTTCTCAGGTTTCTTTGATTTGTATGTTTTCTTACGTTTTTACTAGTTTTTTATGGTATTACTAGTTTTCTTCTGTTTTCTTGGCGGCTTCGGAAATGCTGGCTTTCCGAAATGAATGGTTTTCGAAATGAACGTTTTCCGAAATGAATGGTTTCCGAACTGAGAGGGTGCCGTTATAACGCCGTTAACATTACAGCCGGCACGCGTTATAACGCCGTTAACATTTGAGCCGGCAAATGTTATAACGCCGTTAACATTTGAGCCGGCACATGTTATAACGCCGTTAACATTTCAGCCGGCACATGCTATAATGCCGTTAACATTTCAAGCCCCTGTACGCTCACGCTGTTGATTTAGTGTCGAAAAAAAGAAATGTTTACTGCTGTACACAAATCTCTTCACGGCACATGTGGTCGGCATCCTACAAACCCAAGTAGGTACTCGTAGTCGGAATCCATATTTTTAAAACGTTAACATCTTCGCTCGACATCTACGAATGTTTATTACCGCAATGTTGACTACAGCCTATCGAAGGGGTAAATTATTAAATGCTCGTATATTGTAAAAATCATAACAAAACTCGTATATTGTAAACAAATGCTCGTATATTGTAAACGAAATTCATAACAAAACTTTAAATAGCGTACCGGCTTTGTATTACATTACATTTTTTTGTACGAGGCCAGTCAATCTAAATGACCGTGACATATTCATAGCCGCAGCTCACCCATTGAGATTGCATGCTTAATCGCATAAAAGAGCAAGTTACGATTTAATTCGACAGCGATAATCGTAGGCATGCATATTCGACATGCATAATTTTTAAACAATGCGAGCATCCCCGCCGAGTACTTATGTTTTCAAACTCAGTGCAGATCGCAGACTAAATATACAGAATAAAGAAAATACAAATAACGAGTAGCCTTATACGTAGAAAGTATTAGCCTTAGCAGAAAATTAACGCGTCTTAATAATAATAAGCGTTTTATGCGTTTGTACAAGCGTTTAACGAGAGCGGTTTATGTTGATGATTTAGGGGAATCCGATTACCGTACAGTTATAGCGTGAATATCCCAGCCCGGCTCGCCTGTTAACTGCGTTAACAAAAAGCTTTACTTCCTTTAAAATTGCTTTTCCTTGTTTAACAAACAGCAAGCGCAAAAGAAGTCCACTTTTTGAAATTAAAACCTTTGTTTTAAATGTGACTATAACACGACCGCTTCATGAAAAACTGCAAAATTAATGTCTCAAATTTTTAAATAACGTGCTCTTGAAAATAACATAAATTTTCGTCAGCAATTTTAAAGAATTATGTATTAAGGCGCAGTTAAATTTATAGTTTACGTTTTTCTCCAACTATTGCTATTACAGCTATTGCTATTATTACTGCGTACAGTTTTACTGTACATTACGGTGCCGCACCGAATTTTGCTACTTTAATTTACACGAACAAGATCAGTATTGTCACTGCTTAAGAACAGGCAATTCGTACAGGACTTCAGACCGGGTCTAAATGTGATTTGAACTTGATTTTAGTCCATGATTCGTGAACTGCGATTATTTTGCTGCGGAGATTGAGTGAACAGCTTGCATGATTTTGGTCGTTAACATTTGGGCCCGGCGGGAATGTCAACGTTAACATTCTAGCCCGGCTCACATGTTAATGCGTTAACTGTTAACATGTTAACTGTTTTGCCGGCTACAATCGCGGAACGGCAGATGGTGCTAATGCCGCTACAGTCTGGTAACAAGCCCGTTTGAAAAACAATGGCCACTGACCACTACAGCCGTGAAAACCGATAAACACTGGCTTGAAAAAATTTACCTATACTTGCTTACTTAGCGATACCGCTAAAATCGTTGAAAGCATAATTATGATTATTTATTTATCCACTCAAAGGAGAATATTTCAGCGCATTGGGTACTGTTGCCCGTACGTTCATTTTACGTGACTGTTATTGTTCGGTGCAGCAACTTCATACCGTCAGGCGATCTTCGGTGCCCAAATCATGTTTCACTGTCCGGCATGATTGCCCTTTTATTAGCCTTTCAGTACGAGAATTCGCAGTTGTGTACGGAACGGACGGTCGGATAAGATTTTACTAATGAAAATGGTTGCGGTGGTTTTGTGGGAATGCTTTAATCTTGCCGGTCTTCCCAGCAATCAATCACCACTACATGTACTGGCACAGGCAAACATACAGATTTCGTTGTCCAGCTTGGGCTGCTTCGTTAGTACACGTATAATCCGCCACATAAAAAGATGATTAATTTTAAAAGCACATGCAGAGACGCACATCACAAACTTTTTTTTCTCAACACAACGCCGCCTTACACATTAACCAAGGTAAACTTCTGACTGTCATCTCTTTTTCTCTTTTGTCCCACATGGGCTGTGAGCAGCGAGCTGACCCCTGGTTCCATACAGCTGCCACGATGATCGGGATGACGTGGCTCGATCACCAGGTCATCGCCGCATTCTGACTTGATACGTCCACTTTCTTTGATTCTCCAACGCTGATTCGGCCCACCATTTGGACTGTACGTTGTAATACGCATTTCACAGCCCGGGTGGCGGTCAACATCCAGCACTAGTCTGTAGAATATATTAAGTCAGCATAGTCAACACCATTTTCACTGTCTGGTTAATTAAATTTTACCACGTTAGCTTTTCATCCCGGATAAAAATATAACAACAGGTATAACTAATGCAATAAGAAACAAATTTTAACAACATAAAATATCTTCTAAGGGGCATAAATTGAATACTACATATCAACAACTAGATGGCTGCAGAACAGTAATTTATAAATAAGCTTACCCATTTTTTTGGCTGTAAATAAATCCATTACGGTATGTGAAGCGTTGGTTAGGGCCACCGTTATATTGGTAGAACACGATCTGCTGCTTATTCTGATCGCTGCCGTTGAAAACATCTAAAACGGTGTTGGTGTGATCGTGTCGAATAATGAATGGACGGTCCGGATCAAAACCCATTTTCCAAAAATTTTCCCAAAAAGGATACGAAATAGCTACAGACAGAAAACACGTTGGTGAACTGGCTTAGAATAAGCACTACTGGTAAGCCGAACAGAAAACTTGAGCTCTGTTTATATTCCTCGCCAAATGAAAGATTTTGCAGACACGTGTTTCCGTCCCTATTGAACGTTTATATATAGAACTCTTAAGCGGAAATTTTATCGACAACTGAACATAGTTCTTTGTCAAGAATACAGCTGCGATAGTTAGTTTGCTTGTTTACTTGATTGCTTGTTGAATTCATATGCGGGGTTCAAGATTGCATTCGAGGCATCTGCACTAACGCTATGCCAAATGGCAAATGCTAAAACAATGGACAAGGGATGTGATTTGATGCTTTAATTCTGATAGCATGTTGTGTACAAGTATAATAGTCCTGTTAAAGCGCATCCAGCACAGTAATTGCTCACCGTGAATGTGCTGATTACAAAGTTATGATTGTGGTGCATTTCTTAAAAGCGGTGAACTTAGCAGATAACGCGTACTTACAGATACCTAGTCAATAATAGTAATTAATAACACACATGTTGGGAAATAAAATTTTATAGTATGTATCTGTTATGGACTTGCAAACTTGCGCATCCTGCATTCGTACTGTTTGCGCGGGTTTAAAATTACTAGTATAAGGTCTCATACGCCCTTAGGGCAAGCGGGCGGCGGTTCTTAATTTTGAGTGTATCAGGCAGCGAATGTGTGAAGTAAAGTCTTATAAACACGTAAGCGCAGAAGCTGCAGAATTAACCTTGGAAACTGATTTATTCTATATAAATCTAAGGGGAGTGCACTGCACATTTTACTATTAATACGTTTTACTCCAAGAAACTTTCGCTTTCGCGTACTCCCACATACTTTTTTACATTCTTTTATGACATTTTCTCGAATTGAATATACCCACAAGAAAGCTGCTGGTGGACGCATCATTCAATTGGAGAATTATAGGCCATAAAATTTTAATAAGTTTTTAAGTAAACCCGTATATCAAAGGTCGCATTATAAAATATAAACTACCTTGTTCAAAAACTACATGTAAATGCGCATAAATATGTTCACCGTTTTTATACCGAACAACGGCGCATTTATTTTTCAGTTTTAAAATAATTTCCAGGAATTACAAAAATTGTTTTAAAGACTGGAAAAAGTAGCGATACTGTGTTTTTTGCAGAGTTCGCTTTCCACTGCATTCTTGGAAAGCAACAAGACACTGTTAAAAATAAAATCACAATATTATTATGCATTTTCGAAGAGAAAAGCCTTGTGGCAACCATTAAAAAATTAATCGAAAGTGGTGTTCGGGTTTACTGCTATTGTTACATTAGGAGAAGTACTTAACTTGAGAAATTAGAACTTATTCAGTTTGGAATCATATCTGAAACTAAAAACACAGCCTCGAAAATTTTCTGCGAATCCTGAAATTGATAATAATTCAGATACAGAATCGAAAAAATAATATAGAATTCAGATTTTGAATTGAAAATTGACTATTCACTTAACGATTCAGCAAAAACAAATTTTAAAAGTTATGAGATTAGAAACTTAAATTTGAAAAGCTTTGCGCGCAAATTTATTTATTATTTAATACTTTGGAACTCAGTTGTAAGTGAAAACGATTTAAAAGTAAATTCGGGAAATAATTAGGTGTTGAGAGCAATAAACGTTGAGAGCGTTGAGAGCAACAAGTTTGAGCGATAATAATAATATGCAATAATAACGTTAAGAGCCTTAATTTGAGAGCAATAATTTTGGTTAAAAGCAACATAATAATTTACTTCAAAATTAATAAGATGTAATATAATTATGGATTTCGAGTTAGAAAACTCTATTTTTAATTTTGGAATTTCTTGAAATTTCTTTTAATTGATTTCACATTGGTCGGTTACGTTAAATTTGAATTCTACATTTTACAGCGGCACACGAAATGTGTGAATCCAGTTTTTCTGTGTTGGGTTTCAAAAGCAGTTATCATTCTCTTCAAAAATAATTTTTTCAATATATGTTTATCTAAGGTATTCTAACGTTCGATATTCCTCCAATCAGAGACTTAGAAAATAGGAAATTTGGCATTTGAATATTTCCGTACCTTGCTCCTGAAGTTTTTCATGATCCTTTTAGCCGGCTATTTAATTATTTTGTTTTTAATTTATTTAACCAGTATAATTTTTTATAATGGATAGCTTGTAGACTTGTACAGCTTAGGACAAAAAAAGACGCATAGTCCCACCCACCGCTTTCCGAACGTATGCGGCGCAGTGCGCTGTACGACTCAGCTAAATATCCGATTGTCGTACAAGTGCACTTGCCACATGCGTACGGATATCTGGGTATGGGGTTATGCGTCTTTTTAGTCCTCAGCTGTAGTTGTTTAACCTTTTGGAGGTGAGTATTTAGGATTTGAGTGAACCAGACACTACACAAGTCTCCCTCGACCTCGGGACTTTTTTCACAGCAAATCTGACCTCGGAATTACTTTCATCGCGTTTTTCTGATAAAGAAACCGTCTTTCACAATTTTTTTCGAAAGAAAAAAATGGCTGACTGCCGTGCATCCATACGCCCTCGAAAACTTTCGGCGGTTGCAATGGCGCCACTAAAAAAACTTTTTTGTTTTTACATTTTAAACACTTTATTTAGGTGAATCGATATCACTGATTTTGAAAATGTTGACAGATTGAAAATTTTTAAAATGGTATTAGTTATCTAAGGGAAGATTTTACGATTGAAAATGTTTAGGGAAAATTCCCTAATTTTGGTTTTAATAAAAAACACTTTTTGCCGCGGCTCAGAAAATTTTTCTGACAACATAAAATTATTCAGAATCAGCGACATCGGTTCACCTATACAGACTGTAAAAGGCGTTTAAAATGAAGCAACAAAAATTTTTTGTGGCGCCATTGGAATCGCCCAAAGTATTTGAGCCCGGCATTTAGAAATTTCTTCTTTCAAGAAACAAATTTGGAAAAATGGTTTCTATTTCAGAAAAATGCGATAAAAATTATCCCGAGGTAAAATTCGTTCTGACAAAAGTCCCGGTGTGGGTCTCGTGCTGTCACTCAACTGCAAAGATATTTACGATTTGCCGTTTAAATTTCCAGAGATATTCAGAATTTAGGTACGTAAATTACAACACCTGATATTCAACAATATTATTACAATTTGCAATCATAATGTTGAATACTCGTATCTAGTTAGCTGAATTACCGTATCTACAGGGGTGCTACGCCAAGTTCGGGCACTTTCTCTCAAAAATTGCTACAGTCACCCGTCAACAATTTCCAGCATAATAAATTTGTTTAGTATCAGCGTATGTCTCCATCATCTTTTGCACTTCAATCCTCCACGCTGATAGCGTGTTTCGATTTGCAGCAAGTTCGAAACTGGAGCAGACCTGCTTAAAAATGCGGCTCGACCCCTGTACCATGGGAGCCTTACTTTCTGTTTATAATTTGCTTAAAAATTACACTGACGTCCTTATCAATAGAAAATAAGCCTAACTTGTTTGTTGTTCAGTGTTCTTGCAAAATAAGCCCAAGGTCGTGTGAATGCATTAAAATCCACGTGACCTTTGCAATGCGACTGTGGGTATAGTTAAAGTAGATGGTGACCCTCTGTAAATGCTTGCCCTGCGCATGAAACCGTGCAATGTTATCGATGACAGATTTTTATGAAATCCCATCTGGAAGGTTCTGAACACTTATTTAAAAGCTTTCATCCGCACAATAAGTTAGAGACAGTTCGCTCTTGCATACTAAAACAGCAACCATAACTTTTTTTGCCTGTCGCTTTGTTCGTTTTTTCTTTCAGTTGTCCGGCACTTTCATCTCTCTACCCGCATAACGTATGCCCATCGAAACTTTAAAATCGCTTAATGTAATCAACGTTTCACCCACGAAACATATCCACTCGAGGTTACTTATGTTTCTGCGCTAGGCAACCACATCCTTCGGTGGGTACGTTATAACATACAAGTCTATGGGAGATAAAAGTTGTTTCGGGGTCACCCCGATCCCCGATGATGCAAGGTTCTTTTGTTAGCCCGTAACAGACACCTTTTGGGCGACTTATTAGTTTTAAGCAAATCCCGTGCAAAAATTTCAACTGGGGAATTTTTTATAGAGGTTGTTATAAACACCCCAGAAACGCCCTCTGCCCCTCCCCTTTATTACCTTTATAGCTCGTTACTGACTGATTCTAAGATTTTAATTTTTACATGACTGGATGGGCCATAAAAAGTTACACTAAAAAAGTGTAGAACGAAAAATGGAACTACGCATCGAAATACTTTATAATTTATTTTACACTACTGCCCGAACTTGGCGTAGCACCCCTGTAGTTAGCTGAACAGTTACCGTAATTTTCGGATTAGAAGCTCGGGGCTTTTAAATTTTCATCGATACCCAGGGGGAGGCTTATATGGTGGAGTATTTTGAAAAAAAACAAAGGGGGGAGTATTGTGCATCAGGGGGAGGCGAGGCTTATATGGTAGAGGAGGCTACAATTCTGGAGGAGGCTTCCATTTCGGAAAATACGGTAAGCAGTAAGCACCGAAAAATATGTGGAGCTATATAGAAATGCTGAGGAATGTTTAGGAATATTCAGAATTATTCAGAATTATTCAGAATTATTTAGAATTATTCAGAATTATTTAGAATTATTTAGAATTATTTAGAATTATTTAGAATTATTTAGAATTATTTAGAATTATTTAGAATTATTTAGAATTATTTAGAATTATTTAGAATTATTTAGAATTATTTAGAATTATTTAGAATTATTTAGAATTATTTAGAATTATTTAGAATTATTTAGAATTATTTAGAATTATTTAGAATTATTTAGAATTATTTAGAATTATTTAGAATTATTTAGAATTATTTAGAATTATTTAGAATTATTTAGAATTATTTAGAATTATTTAGAATTATTTAGAATTACAGAATCATTTAGAATATGTTTTTGGATTCGGATCCGGATCGTGGCTTATGGTTGGTATTCATACGTAGGAATTTGAAATATTATAGAAGTTTATGCCATAACAGATCTTTTAGGAAACCGAGTTTGAGACCTAGAGGTGCCCATCGTCGTCACTGCCCGAACATTTTAGTTTGACCCAGCACGTCAAGATGTGCATATGCCGTACATATCGTGGTGGCGACCTCGGGGATCCGGGTTGGAGGTCCCCGAGTACTTCAGTTCGACTCAGCATCTCAAACTGTGCATATACGGTACATATCGTGGTGGCGACCTCGGGGATCCGGGTTGGAGGTCCCCGAGTACTTTAGTTCGACTCAGCATGTCAAACTGTGCATATACGGTACGGGTACATATCGTGGTGGCGACCTCGGGGACCCGGGTTCGAGGTCCCTGAATACTTCAGTTCTACTCAGCATGTCAAACTGTTCATCTACGGTACATATCGAGGTGGCGACCTCGGGGACCCGGGTTCGAGGTCCCCGAGTACTTCAGTTCGACTCAGCATGTCAAACTGTGTTGGGATCAACATGTAAATCGGTGGCGACCCAAAGGTCAGGCGGCGACCCAAAGGTCATGGGTACTCCTCGTCGCATCGAACCCTCAATATGTCTTGAATTAGAAACGCGGGCTCGCTTCGCTCGCCCGCTTGATTATCAAACTCAGCACAAACAGTACGAATGCAAGCAAGTGCCAGTTTGCGAGTAAATTATTTACAAACTGCTAATTCGACACAGCATAACATATTTATATGGCACTCGCCACTCTGTCAGAGGAGTGTACATACAGATACAATTGACATCACTGTAACTTTTGATGTTTAAAGCACCAAGTATTATAAACAATATGGGATATACCATCCCAACACTGCTGCATGTCCCAAACAACACAAAATCCAAACACTTATCCAAGATCCAAAAAATCTTTTGACACAGGTCTTAATTCACCATTGCGCTTTAATAAGCAGTATACGCTCCCGGACACGGCTGATTGGCTATACCTTGCCAATAATTTAGCATTCCCGCAAGGTCATACGTGCTGGCTGACCACTGTGCATCCAGGCCTAACTCGTTGACTCCGTAAGCGCCGTTGCTCTGCAGGAAAGCGGGGCCGTCCATTCGTCTACGAAAGGAGACAGCAACGCCGGCAACACATTACTGTCTTATCGAATAATTTTTATACGACATTTATAGTTTTTAGTTTTTACATATAATTAACGTATTACCCGTTGTGAGTCACTTGTCTGAGCATGTTCCGATAACTAACAGTCACGCGAGGATCATATACTTCACCAGGAAAGAGCTGCCATTGTCCGAAAATATAGGCCAGCTCCAGTGCGTGAAATGCCCCTATACAAATAATATTTGTACAAGCAGTTATTATTTTTCCTGCGCAACCAACAAAATATTATAGATGAATTCGTAACGATGGAGTGAAAACTACTGTAGGTTAATATTTAGCGGACGTTCTGCATCGCTATCGCAACCTTACCCCATCCGTTGTAATGCGAATCGTATATGGTCCGAATAATCTGCACTGACGGTCCTGATGGCCCGGCATGTTTGGCGTATATCAACGCTTCCTTAGCCGCTGGGTAGCCTTGTATAGCATCGGAAGCCAGCTGAAATGGAATCCACTCCAGAAACTCTCAGAGCACAAAAGTAATCAGTGGTAAAAATTCCATTAGATAGCGTACGTGGTAAAATTTGGTCAGAGTATCATTGCGACTGTCCGCGGCTGACAGATTATAGTGCTGCATAACACGATCGGCCAGGGCAGTGTCCGGTACAGGACACAACGGTCTTCCGTCGCGTGGCAGCAGATATTTGGCAATCACGTCACGGATGGCATTCATGGACAGCGGATCTGCACTAATCACGTCGGGCACCGACACTACAGAACGGTGATTTGAAACATTAACGGTGAAATTGGTCAAGGCTTTCACTTTACGCTGATATTGCATAATCAATTATTGATGGATTTATTTCACTGCTAACATTAACAGTAAGTATTTTTAAAAATTTTCAACCTTTCTTTTATATTGCCCTGCTTATATATCCCTGTATACCACTATTAATTCCTTTTAATTAATTTATAGATTTAGTTTATCATTATTATTAATTTAATTTGATCTCAATATTTACTTCCATTAATATCAAATAATTTTGTAACTGAAGACGTAACAATCAACCCGAATAATTTACGCTTGTTTAGAATTTTGAAGTAACATAATTTTACAGGCAGTTCCTGATTATGTATAGTGGGTGTATGTAATAAAAAAAAGCTGGAGACATACAGGTTAAGGTCAAAGCGGCATCTTCGCGAAGATAACTGGTGATGACGTTGGGACCGGTGTATCCACTGTCCAGCGTTTGTTGCAGCGCACGCAGCGGCAAGTCTGGTAAGTTATCGTGATCAATAACGAAAGCGAAGGCCGCATTAATCTACGTACAACAAGTTTTTTCAACTGAAACCACGCATATGCTGCTGTGCATATCATCAACTCTATATTACCGGAATCTGGACGACTGTCAGCTGGGCCTTCTGGAACTGATCCTGCGGTAGCGCTTTCAGGCAGCTGATCATCGCAGCCGATGTATCCGTGGGACATCCCGCAGTCGTAGCGACTTTCTTCGCGTTGGTCATCGGATCACGAATGTAGGCCACCGTCGGATCCACCAGCACGCTGCCGCTGAATGCTATAGCTGCGTACGTCATGCCTGCAAATACAGCATATACCGTCTTCGTCCTTGACAATCTTTGTTTTGTTAATTACAAAATACACACCATACATAGTATATATTTTGCAACCCCACGGATACACGAGTATGTACAATATATCTATATACTTAATATATTCGACATTACATAAAATACATAACCTTGCTTTCGGTGAAAACAAAATGAGCACATTTGAATGCATAAGACGCTGAAGAAGTTAGTAATTTATGACTATGGATATTGGCCATGTAAAATGTACCGCGAATAACAGGATCGAGCAGAGCCACCGAGACCAAGCCACCGCCGCCACTTTGTCCGAAAATTGAAAAGCGTTTGCGTTGCCGCCGAACTTCTCGATGTACTTGTGGGCGAATTTTATAGCCACTCTACAATCTCCGATCCCATAGTCGCCTCGGGCAGAATCATCCCCGGTGCTCAGAAACCCTGATACGTTTAAATTAGATCAATCACACCAATATAAAATATACTGTGGCCAGCTGGTTTCCAGACGCACCGTATGCAGCCAGCCGGTAATTAATCGTAACAATGATTGCACCGATGTCATCGGCTAACGACGTTGAATTGTATTGGTCTTTGGTGCCAACTGAAACAGAACACCGTAAAAAAATACAAAAATATCTATTGAAATTATACAGTAAAATTAACCTTGGAATCCTCCACCATGAATCCACAACATCGCGGGAAACGTCCCCGAGGAACTGGCTGCTGCAGCTCGTGGCGGGACATAGACGTCCATGTACAAACAGTCTTCATCGAAAACTGTGTTGGTTACCGGCGGCAAGCCATTAAGAAATCCCTGCGGGCAAACATTTCCCTGTTTTTGTCGGGTGGTATTTTTCAAATATGTGAAATCAGTGTTCTCCACCGAAGCCTGCAAATCAAAACAATTCATTAAAAATTCAGGTTCAAATATCAAATAATTTTAAACTGATGTTAACCACCAGAAGCCTGGTTTTAAAAGTCAGAAGACGGGCCAGTTTGTTCGTCGGCGAGCAATGCCTAAAACCTTGAAGGGGGAATAGTAATTATAATAATATATATACCTCAAATCGTTTGCCTGTTCCATACCGAATTCCGTAGTATGCGTAGCCGGTGCTCCCTGGATATTTGTCCGATGCAAATGGCTCGCCGACAAGCTGAACGTCATCACGCAAGTTTACCACACCATCAACGGCCAGACTCACTTTAGTGTTTAGTAAGGTTATGGAAATCGTGCTCAAAGCCAAAAGCCATAAGAAATGATTTTCGGGCATCTTCGGGTTTTAATATGTTGCACTTTTGGCAAGCGCGCGATGCGGTAAACCAAAATAACAGATTCTGTCAGGTTTTCCTTGAAGAAAACCCTCGGTGTATTATTTTCAGCGATTAGGAGGTCGGTAAAATTTGGTTGTAAGTTCGTTTCTGTAACGTATTGTCGTAAACCGGTACCAAAGCATACATGTACAAGCCCGTCCGGAGTTAGAGCACGACAGAGAACAGCGAACAATGTAAATTCATGGGTTACGCCAAACAACATACTACGCCACGACACGCCACACTCTTTTAACACGTAACATGCTTTTGGCTGGCTGGTGGCTTGGTGCAAGCCATTTATTTTAATGATTATAATCGTAATTGCCTGGCGGAAGGTGGCTCGAAAACAGTCGGTGCAGAAAGGGACAACTGACTGCGGAGCGCATTTACGCATTGCGGTCGACGTAGTGTTTAGTGGCCATCGTGCTAAGCGCTAACATCGCGCTTATTATGCGTTAGCTGTTCTCTATCGTGCTCTAACTCCGGACGGGCTTGTACAGGTAGATTTACAGCGGTTTTCTTTAACCAGAATATTGATGTCTGATTTATGGCTTTCTTATTTTTAGTCGTTTCTCTTTAAGCACTACAATATCGTGCAACATAAAACCAGTGACACGTTTTCACCAAGCCCCTGTAGATCGGAAGTGGCATAATACTTTCCTGCACGTAAACATACACGTTGTTCGAGACATGTCGTACGCGTATAATAAAAGCCAAAATAATGTTTGTCAGCATATTAAGCTAAGATTTATGTTCACTGGGTCATAAACCTGCAAAACCTGTAATAAACAAGAAATTACCGGAGTTTCTGCCGTCTACTGAACTGACAGCAAGCGAGACATCGCGTGAGAGTTCGTTAAAAGCCCGCCACGAATCTACCGCAAAATGGGTTTTGGCGCCGTTCTTTTGTTCTTAGATCACGGAACATACACACCGGCAAATGCGGTATTTAATTGTGCTGATGCCGCTACAACTTGGTAGCCCGGCTTTATATAAAGCAGAAGCTACTACTCTGCCCAGAATAATATTCGAAAACTTCCCTCACAGCCATGAAACCATTTTTAACATGCTGATAACACAAGTTGTTAGGAAAACAAATGAACTAACGACCTGGGTGGCAAGACTGCTGCTTGTTGCGCACGGGTTCTGCGCCACATCCTCCCAGAATCGAAGCATATCGCGGAGATCGGTGCCATCCACGGTCAGCCACTCTCCTGCTTGGTTCATTTGCAGGTACTGGCTGGTTGCACTAAAGTTCGGCCCATCCATTTTTCTACAAACGACATTTAATCGATTTACTTTAATCATTAATGCTTATGTAGCGTTCGGTAATCAAAGAATTAAATCTGTACGTACCCGTTATACGCCAACTGGCGCAGCATATCCCGAAAGCTTTTACAAGTCGCTCATCAAAGGTCAAATTTAGCTGTACAATGGGGCTGAACATGTGCATAATCTCCAGGGTATGGAACGCTCCTGTATTATTGTGGCGAAAAGTTATACCAATGTCGATGCAAAGCAGTTAGCTTTATCTTGCAGTTAAGTAATCTGTTATTGGTTCTTATCATATTTTCCCTTTATTAGGCAATAACCTTGAAATAACAAAAAGTATTATTATTCTTATCCGTAGCTTGAATGTCAAATTTTCGAGAGAAGAAGGGTTTGTTGCTTTTTACAACCCTGCCAAGCCAAGTTGGGGCAGTTAAAAAAATTTCTCCACTTCTACCAGTGAAGTGAAACATTTTTATCAAATTTTTGCATGATAGTTCTTGGTCTATAGCACCTTCACTGATTTTGTTTCCATGCAAAAAAACTGAGGGTCAGGGAACGGGATCCAAATTTATAATTTAATTTTTGGTTCAAAAGTGGCACTGCTTACAAAGAAATAAAAAAGTTTATTCGACAACTATTTAAAAATTGAAGGAGGCTGAGGAGTTTTAGTGGATAGCGTAGTTGCCTAACGGAACCTTCCTAGCATTTGTTTAAGCATTGACATCCTGTCTAGAAGGATCAGTGCTCTAGGAAATCACATTTTCCTAAAGGAGCTTTTTAACATACAAGTCTATGGGAGATAAAACTTGTTTCGAGGTCACCTCGAGCAATGATGGCATAACGTCCCTATGATGAACCCTCACGCTTGGCACCCCTGTAGTTTGGCTACAATTTATTACGTTTGCTTTTGCCGTTACATTTACATTAATTTTAATAATAAACTGAATAGCAGAATTAATTTATTGAGCGAAACTTGATGTACATTCTAGTGCTTTTTTACCTAGACCCATTCCAGGATCGTAATCGATGCGGTATAGCTGGCTCGTGCCTGTTCCATTGGCGTACAGTAAAGACTCACGGACCGCTTGGTGACCGAACTGCGAATCCGTGGCTAACTAATCATAAAGAGCAAAGCAGTGTATTTAGTATCCGCACGAGATAAATGCAAAAACTTTAATGATGTAAATATATTATTATATTTTACGTGAAAGAATTTCCAAATGGTGTCGTCCCGGTTGGTCGTGCTAGTGATGTTGTATCGCTGCAGAATGCGATTGATCACGGCGGGGTCCGGTGTTTGGCACTGGGCTAGACCGCCTTCTTTGGTCGGGAGATACCGTCTAGCCACAATGTTCCGCAACTGGTCCATGGTAACCGGTTTGCTGGGATCGTTAAGCTCTGGTTCAATGCCTATAGCAAAAAATTAATAATTTATTTTCTCAAATTTGTGCCACGCATTGCTACAAAATAATTAAGGAAATGGAAAACATGCGAATCATCGTGCGTTGGTACCGGAGCAAAGGTACAGAGCATATCCGTTTATACGTGCAAAGTTCCACAAATAATTAAATTTCGGGTGAATTTCGAAAATTTCTATATAAATAATTTATGAAATTTCTACGTTAGTCAATGCAATACACATATTTGGAAAACCGGCTGAAATTTTGTCTTTTAGAAGATCACCTTGCAATAAGAATGAAGTGTCTTCGCGCAGATATCCCGTTAAAACATGAGGAGCTCGTGTAGCAGAGCCGGCTCCTGCCTGCAACGAGCGAATGGGCACATCCGGGATGTGCTCGCCATCCACGACAAATGCATACGGAAGAGTCTGTTAACAGCAACCAACTGTTTAGATGTATTGACGTTTTACATGCCTGGTATATTAGCGATCTCGATTACCGGACTAACACCGTCGTAAGCGGAGTGCCGCAAAAGGTCATCCAGTGGCAACTGTTTCAGACAGTTGACCAGTTCCAGTGAGCTACCGGTCGGACAACCGGCTTTCTGTGCTACTTCGACGGCGCTCTTCTTAGGCTCACGGTTGTAAGCAATGTCAATGAGGATGCTGCCGCTGAGCAACGCCACCGCACGAAGCGAGCCTAATGTGGAAAAAGTGTTTCACATCGGGAAAATTTTAAATTATGTACACTGATGATTATCGTGAGTGAAACAAAACTACGTACTTCGGATAGACTTTTCGCGCCCGAGAATCAAGGCGGACGTTAATCCAGCTCCTGCGCTTTCGCCAAAAACGGTCAGCGCGTTAGGATCACCACCAAACTTGCTAATGTGCTTCTGAATCCATTTCACCGCCACTTTGCAGTCGCCCAGACCGTAGTTGCCCTTCGCGGCTTCGTCACCGGTGCTCAAGAAACCTTTACACAGTAGATTGTTACCCGTTAACCACAGTTAATTTCTTCTAACAAATCGCTACCTAAAGCGCCAACGCGGTAATTCATCATAACTACAATGGCATTAATATCGGCAACCAATGAAGATGCATTAAAAGTGTCCTTGGTGCCCCCTGCAAGTAACGACCTTTAATTTTAGCTTCAAAATAAAATGTTATTAACAGTACAACCTTGCAGTCCGCCACCGTAAATGAACATAAGCACCGGCAACTGGGGACTGGTGCCAGCAGGAATCGGCGGAACATAAATGTCCAAGTATAAGCAATCTTCCGACATTACTTTTCCATCCACTTCCGGCCCGGTTTGTGGACAAACCGGGCCAAATTTCGGTCGCGTAGCATTAAGTAGGAACGAGTAGTCTTCATTCTCCGTCGAATGCTTTGAAGTTGAACACGAGTATTACACATACAAGGGTATTGTATAATTATGTACCGTTAGGAAGCCAGTATACCTGAAAACGTTGCGCGTTGCCGTAGCGTACTCCGTAATACACGAATCCAGGAGCAGTTCCGGTAGAGCAGCACGCTTCGCCCGTTACCGTTGCGGTTGGACTGAGCTGAACAGTTCCTTGTTGGGCGTTGACCAACGATCCAATGAATACGAAAATGAAGGCAAGAAACATTTTGTGCGTGGTGATAGCCCTCCAAGGATATGACGTATCCAGCGCAACCTAAGGAAGGAATGACCAGCGCTAAGGAAGGAACAAGGAATGACCAGCGCTTTTATCTCATTCGGCTTTTAGCGGCTTGGTAAAGTGTTATGCCGAGTACATAGAAGTGCTACCAGCTAGTTCTTAGACGGTTTTCGCTGTTTAGTTTACCTGCAAATAGTGCAAGTGAGTGTACATTAAGAGCACTTTGCGGCATGGTGAACTGGATGATCCATAATACACTTTTCACTCTATGTAAACTAGAAACCTGTTTATGCTGCCAGACAAGCAGACAGTCCAGCTGTAAACCCAGCTAATAATTGCAGAGTGAAAAAAGCTGAAGCGACGTATTATGGTAAATGCTAGCACCCGACCACCTTATTTGAATAGAAAACTCCAAAATGATGCTATTAACGCAACTATACCTTACATACAGCTAATGCAACGAAATTGTTATTTATAGACTACAGTAATAAGTAAGTAAAACAGTAACTGAGTGTTAATCACGGTAGCCTTAACGATTTTGAAATAGCCAAGACGTTTTACTGAATTACAATAATTTTATGTTGAGTAATTTTATTGGTACACCATGGACTTAACGTACCAACTTGGAAGTAAATCCTCGTATTTTCAGTCGGTGGTCATTCGTCGTCGATTTATGCAGTTTTATAGTTTTTGTAATAAGACTACACGGAAAAGTGTTGTAAAATGAATCTAATGGAGGCAGCGAGTATATTCTGCTTCTATTGTATGCTGTACACGAACGGCTGCACTGCACTTCCGGTAGTAGCGATGGCTGCATCGCAGTGATGTAATTTTGACATACTTGTTGGCAACTTGGCATTGTTGACTTTTGATAATCTGTCGGCGTCTTGTATTATCAACTGCCGCTCGGATACTCGTACTTATGCAAACAAACAATCTTTATCAGATACAGTACAGATACCAGCACGGTAGCCGTAAGATTGACTGAAGTAACACTCAGAGCCAATGAAATACCAATGAAATTGGCGATGAAAACAAAAATCCGTATTTAGAGCACAACTGACCATTGCCGGTTCCCATCTCCATCGAGAATTTTATCCTAATATTTGAATGGCTGTGTTCAAATCAATGAAATATGATACAATTACTGTATATGTACAACAGCTGCAGATGTGGAGACTGATATGGGACAATAATATTATACATTATTAATCTGTAGTGCAAGTACATTAATGATTCTGTAGTACATTATTGTTATTACCGGTATGCTGGTGCAAAAGCGCTTCATGGCTTTACATATCCGCGTCAACTGCATGTTGACTGAGTCACATAGCAAAAGAAACGCCGACTGTTATGTTGGCGAGAAACGTTATTTAATGTGGTAAAACATGGTGGCCCAGCGTACCTACAGCAATTCTTCAATACCCTTTTACGGTTCAAACAAACGGTACGCAAAAGGTTCAACTCTTTTCCTGTTTTTTTCGTGCTGTGTAACAGTCTTTACCCGTAAAAAATGCACTTTTGTAAACGATCCAGCTGGTATTTCACAATATCATACCACTTCACTACAGAAACCGTGCAGCGATCAATTTCAGAATTATTTTTTGCGTAAGATACTGTAATAATAACTGCCGACTGACAATTTGCACGCAACAGAATCACACTTAATGCCCACAAATGCTTCGCAAACATATGCTTAACGGCTTTAAAAACAATCATCCTTTTCTTTTAAAAACGCGCAGTAGGTGAAAAAAGTTTTTTGCCCTGTAAATTTAACATTCGCTCATCGTACATTTTTAACAAGTATAATCGCAACAGCCAATTTATAGACTGCCGGTCAGAACAATACGGCGATACTTTTACGTACGTGCACCCGATGTTGTGAATACTCTTATCTGTTTTGATAACGTCTTAAGCATGTGATGCAGCTATGGTGTAAAAAAATTTTAATTTACGGTGATGTTCATGAAAAAAGCCGGAGAAATGCAACTGGTGCGCATTTTTGTTGCTCGACAAAATACAAAGCCAAACAGATATACAAATCAGATATCACGAAAAGTGATTACAGAAAGTGTCACGAACGACTATCCACATCAAATACCAAAAAAATGCAACTCACTGCAGGATGAAACGTTCAACATCACCGCGTAACAATTAGACCAGTTCAAATAACAAAACAAGGAGCGTTAATCCGAAAAACGCAGGCACGCTGCGCTCCTTAAAAACAGCAACATCGAACTACTAAGCAACATAATACCTCATGTAAACAAACGTAACAATGAGAACCAGTCCTCAAAAAATTGTCCCCCACTGTAAAAAAGGTAACACTATAAAAAAGTAAAACGGCAGCACGCAGTGGGGGCATACAGCTGGAGCCTTCTACACCTCCATCGGGATCTCCATTGCCATCTCATCCTCCACCATCTGACTGTACGCCCGATTAACACGATTACGTCAGCTGCACATCTGGGCTGGCGAAAATTTCGCTTCCTCGGCCAAAGCAGTGACCGTAATCCAGGTATATCGCTCGTTATGGTCACGTTCCCGCTGCAGCGCCGCGTTCTGCTGCGTCAACTGGGTCTGCAGTGCAGCATTTTGCTGGATCAGCTGGTTCAGCAAGCCTTTCACTTCCCCCACGTCGGTGCCGATGGTGTCGACCTTCCCCTTCAGTTCCGTTATATCCGCTTGCATAAGAGTGATGTCCCCCTTCATGATGTTCATCTCTCCACGCATCGCCGTGACGTCTTTCATAATCTGGTCAACCTTCTCTTCCATGGCGTTGTACGAGGTCTTGAGGCCCTGAACTGCTGTGTCAACATCCTCCAGCCGCTTATGGACCGCGATGATCTCGTTGTAGATCTTATCATTGATGACAATAACTTTGCCGAGTTCTTGGAAGAAAATCCGGAATGCCAGTGCGGTACGCTGCTCCAAAAAGTGCGCTATCAGGCGATGCTTCTCGATAAGGTGCTGGATTTCAGCCTTGTCGGTGGGCAGTGGGTTTGTGGTCAGATGCGCGGTCAACTGCTCTGCCAGAGCGTAGTACTGCTTGAGAGCTGCTCCGGTATCCCCTTCCAGGTGGAACAGCTGATCCAGAAGAGAGCGCTCGTCCTGCGCCGGCACCAGTGCCTTCTGCAAACAATTGCAAAATCAGGACATACCGCTGTGCATTAACCAAACGGGTGTCTAACGTACCACATATGTACAGTACTCTGTAGTCTGTACATAGTTAATTCGTTTTACATAGGTACTCGTATCTCTGTAATATCTTCGTAACAACAGGAACAGCAGAAGAACTAAATTTACTTTCCTTAACTATTTTTAGAAAAATCAAAGTTAGTACATACCATCGCACGTGCCATTTCGGCGTTTTGCTCGGCGTAAGTAGGCATTCTTTGCCAATGCGACATTTGTGAATCCTGTTAACAAAACACCGAATGCATATCAGTACGTAAATCCATAGCAAATCTTCAAAACTGTTAGTATTTTCACTGTAATCTATCATGCAAAAAATGCTTTTAAAGCGAATCCATCAACAACTTTTGGAACTCTGGTTCAAGTAAAAATGTAATGCCTCGATCGTTCGCGCAAAATCGTGCATAAATGATTTTCAGAATACTCTAGCAGGAAATTAAGTTGAAGGAAATCTGATACTCGCTACGTGCACTCAGGTACCGAAGCGAATTCGTAATACGTGCATACTATACAGTTTTACATAAAGTTTTGTTTATGAAACATTTTTAACAAGATAAACAACAAAATTAACTTGACGTTTCTATTTCTACACTTCTGTATTTTGATCTGAGCTGAATCGTTTTCATTTTTCCGCATTAGCCGCTGATTTGCTCGGAAAAACGCGCGTTACTTACTTGGCGCATGTTGGATATTTCCCAAAAACTGTTCTGTAAAAAGTAAATGTTTTGCATTAAATGTACTAGTTGCAGCCTCGAAGTTTCGGTTAATGAAACACGTTCTTGATGCTGCTGTTATTAAATTTTGCAGCCCTTTTCCACAAGAAAAGCAAAAGACAATAACTTGCATGCAAAGCAGAGCATGGACAGGATGAGCCATATACTGTATTTTTGCTATATTTTTGAGATATCAAAATCATGGTGAAAATCTCAGCAAGTTAAGTTTTTAGCCAGTAAATCGCATCCGAAAATACAGTCATTTATAATTTAGGATACTGACGAGCTATCATATACAAACGAAAATACAGCCAGGTTTTTCTTTTGCAAAGTGCGAGTATGCCTAAACAACTACATACACAAGGAAGCTCTGGTAATATTCAACCAGACATGCGAAAATGCTCAGCGTCAGTCGCAGCCTCCCAGCGCATGCTGCGCAGCGATTTCCGATACCATCCCACCAAACAGCGATACCACCAAAACTATACTCGTTCATGTCAGTTCGTAGCGGCGAAATAGTACTTAATTAATTACCGTAAGTCCGATAATTAAAAAATATTAGTGCTGTATTTAGCTCTGTGATACGGGAAATCACGTACATCGATAATCAGAATCTACCCTACGGTAGAGTAACTGCAGCATTACAGTAGTAGCATTTGCCGCAGAGGCGTAAACCGATTCCCAAGCATTCACTCAGCGTGAGAAAGCTGTTTCATACCAGTCACACTCACGACCAATTATCAGCATCTGCATATCTAAATCCCGAGCTTTAGAACGAAAACTTAACATAAGACCGAACGAAAAAAATAGCTTCGAATAGGTAACAATTATACGTCGCAATATTTGAAATGAGGTGTGCTCGCTACTACGAACTGAAGAAAAATTAATTGATCGCAAAGATTACGAATGTAGAGCGCCACATCCCAACATAGGTGCAACTGTACGAGCACTCGCAATTAATTTATTCGTCATTACATACGGTTGCAAAGCAAAAAGACAGTCAAAGCGTCCACTTACGTGTTATGGAAAAAAACGGGAGAATTAAACGCTCAGCGAGCCACAGAATCTTCTCAACAATCTGCAAAACAAAAAAGCGGCGTGTTATAGAGATTAGCGAACGATCATGTGCACTGCACTTGTGCAGTTTACTGGCGAACGAAAAATGGTAATCACATTGTACTTCTACCGGGTAAATAAAATAAAATATTATATAAATAAATAAAAACGATAATTATGTAAATAAAACAATGATTAAGTATTTAAGTAACCGAGTAATTAATAAATTAAATAAAGGCTACAGCGACTTTGCCATTCCTGGTTCCTGATTCCCACGGCTACTGGCTACTAACAAAAAAACAACAAAATCTGTGCAGGAACATTGCATGGACGATACAAGTAGAAAGATTGCAGCTATCTTGATAAATAACAACGCGAAATTCCGGCAACTGTGGTAAACGTCAGCGTAACGATTAGCGTATGCTAAAATTAATAAAACAGGGGATTTTTCCGAATAAACTAACGACGGCTTTTGCAGTAATTTTCAAAATAAATTCACGAATCAAACAAGGTAGCATCACACTTCTCCCTTAAATAAATTTGCTGCTGACTGTTAATTAAGTACTCAGTGATTAATGCTACATGGTAAGTACAGAACATGACTGCGCCAGTACCGGAACGTAGTACGATTAATGTGCTACGTATGTAGTACATATTGGGAAAATGAATGTACGTTAAAACTGCAGCAGTATTCCTGTACAGTAGTGCACATTTTTATTTACTTTTAAATTATTTCAATAGCGCGATAATAATATCGAGCTGTAATTACAGTTAAATTAGATTAGTTAATTAGATTAGTTAAATTAAAACTGCAAATAGATCCTAGTGGCTAGCGGCGATGCCATGATTTAAGTTGCGTTAACGCACGCGCCCGTATCGGCGCACGCGACGTGCGCAGAGCGAGCCCGCCGTTTCTCCCGGCCGATGACGTCACTGCTACCGCAAGAACCCGCAAGGTACGGCTGCATCACCTCGCCGAAGTTCTTTGATTCTCCGGACAAACAACGAAAATTCTCGATAGCAAAATAATGATATCTTATGTACTACGCTTCTAGAAAATTAATAAGACCTTTGTCCGGCTGTAGACACGATTCTCTAACGAAATCGACACACTCAAAAGCTGGCTCAGTAAATAAGAGAAAACACTCATATTTTGTCCAATAATTTGAATAATTCCTATTATTTTACAAGCTAGCGGCGCCGAGCAAGACAGAAAATGAGGCCATGAATTATCAAAACGATAGAAAGCATTACTACACTCTAAAAAAACGAAAATACCGAAAATTCCGCTGCCAACGTTCAAAAATGGAGAATAAATTACCAGTATTACGCATAAATACCGTTTACGTTTCTCTGCAAATTTCGTAAAAAACTCTGCGACTGCTACCAGCTAGCTACTGCGGAAAACAGGTACTTATTCACAGAAAAAGCGAAACACTTACCAATGTCAACGGGGTACTCCGATGAACAGCGCAGGACTTTCGGGTCACAGAGTAGAGGAGCCTGGGAACATACAAGTGATTCAACGCTGTTTACGATCCTGCAACCGCTCATTAATTTGCAAAGCAAATCAATGATTATTAGTGACTGGTATGAGTGGTATCAATATAATTTTATCATTTGTATTAATAGCATCCCTATTTAGTACTTACCTTGACGGCATCGGAAAAAACGTTATGTAAAAACGGGTAAGAAATTGGGAAAAAGACAGGGTAATTTTGTAATCGTTAAAAATAGCAGGCAGGAAAATTGCTCAAGTGAGGAATGCAACAGAACAGACTGCCAGTTTCAACTCTCAACTCGAACCGTCGAGCGCATATTGCTTGCTGTACGGTCGTACCTGTTGCATGGGACAGTCGTACCGGACTACCTGTTGTACGAGCTAACCCCGCCCTGGTCCAGCGATCTCTCTGCCCGATTTTATAAAAACGCACAACGGGAACGACGGTTTGGTGTTTCGAATTCGGCAGCCGATGCGCGTTGGCAGTCAAAAATGCGCCAGCCCACCTCACTGCGTGTACGACGCCCAGTGCCAACAGTTCCGTGCCCAGATTTTCCTTCCCGTCGCGAATTCCTTCTCGCAGTTCTCGGAAATCAAGAATCACTCTGCGCAAATGCTGATACGCGATTTATGAAACCAGACAAGTAAAACTGCGTGGTTGTCTGCGAAAGATGCTCGCTTCTACGAGCGCTCGCTAATTAAGGTCACCAATTAGTGTTAAATTGTTAATTACAGTAAGTAAAGCTGTAGTAGTTAGCGATCATATTTTGCGGCAACGAATTGTTTTTGGTTATCCATTATTATCGGTTTGTTTTGTCGCTAATTCCGTTTCTCACACAGAAATATTTACCAATGTGCCATCAGCCAGCACTGCCCAGCAGCCACAAAAAATGCGCTGGACAATTTCGGGCGAACGATGCGCTGGACAATTTCGGGCGAACGCCTGGGCTCGGCTTTTGTGTTTCGACTGGCCATCAAAGGCTGCCGACATTCCACCTCGCATTCCATGGTACACAAAACGAAAAAAGTGAACTCTGTTCCAGCAGGCTGGAAATCTGAAAACCGTACACTCAACAATCAGCCTGAAACTGGATCCATCCTTTCGTAATGCCAGGCTGTGAGAAATAAAATTAATTTTCTGATAAAGCTTGCATCGAAAATTATCAATCATTACATCGATTATTTTAAGTACTGTACGGATTCGTTTTTTTCAATCGCAGTACATATAAATTTTATGTGAAATCAGACTATTTTAGTTTATACAAGTCCGCTGGAGATACCGTATTTACAGAATTGGATTATTAATCATATCCAAATTAACACTTGTAAAGATAGCGGTAGCGGAAGGGAACGGAACTTTTTTAAAGGTAGCGGAACTTTTAAACGTACGCATTTTGAAATATTCCTAATTTTGAAACAATATATTCATAATTCTGAAATAATATTCCTAATCGGTAGTCAACAACTTACTGTTAAAGTATGCATCAGCTTTAGTGCACGAATTACCAAATGATACAATTATACAGCCCGATGTATTGTACTGTACCTGTAAATGTAAATATTGTAGATATCGCTACGTATGTATATAAATCGTGTACTTATTAACAGCGGGCGCCGCACTCATGACCAGATATGTACCGTTTTGAAACTATTCCAGAGCAAATCATAAAATACAAATCTAAAATCCCTACTACTTGTCTGTATTAGAAAGGACGACAAATTTTTCATATTTCAGCTACCTCTAGTAATTATGTAAGAAAATTGCAAAGAAAACTAATTCCGGCTTTTGCCTAGACAGCGTACATACTCGTCTTTTTAAAACTAACGAAGACTAGTTTCAATTTTATATAAACAATAAACAACAAACAACTTGTTAGAGTTATACTATCATGAGCGAGGAAATCGTACGTACAGCGAGTCAGTGCAGGCACATTAATTTTGCTGAAATGTGTACTTGGGTACCTCTCGTCTTAATCGCATAACTTTTGCGAAACAATATTCCAGTGTTCCTTATTCAGTATTCTTTGTTAATACAGCTTACGGATTATTTACCGGTTTTGTGTCGTTGCGTTTATACGTTGCAAAGGGTACGCGTAACACTGGCACTTGCACAGGCTCGCTGTATCCAGAGTAAATATTAATACGCAGCTGGAGCAACTCCGATCCACGTTATAATTGCAGACACCATCCGATGTCTTCTGCAGGACAAATATATACTCGTAGCAGAAAAAAGGGAAGCAAGCCGTTCCGTAACGTGCAATAATAATCGTGATCATTGTAATTTGTATCCATCTGTCAACAAGTTGAACAGAATAATTCGGTAATCCTTTCGAAAAGCCAAATTAAATAGCACTGCAAATTCAGGCAATCGTTTTAATAATAATTGAAATTCGAACAATCATGGGACGCAAGTGGAAGTATCATGGTACGAAAAAATAAAAAAGCGAAATAAAAAAGCCTGCAAGTCTGATCACCACTGCACAAGACAGAAGCTCACGTTTTCCGATTGAGCGCGACTGGCATGAAAACGGAAATTCTGCAGTACTTTTTTAAAATGCAGAATCTGATAAGGAAAGAACGCTTCGGCATGCACATTACACAGCAAAAGCAATTATAGCAGCATGTCTGTCTGGTGGATAGTGAATCAACCATAATTATCTGGTCATGTTGTTGATCTCCAGTGTTGATGTTTTCCGGCGTGTACATCTGGGATCGGCATGGTCGTTCATTGGCGCCGGCCGGTAAGCGAGTGCGCTTCGTCGAACTTTGTCCTTTCGGATATTGAGCGGTCAAGGGCACATGCGAAGCTATTTCATAATTCAGGACCAGAAAGTTTCCACCGAAAACTCGCTGACCTTGAACTGTGAATCAGCCAGTCGCTCGAACATTGCGTCCTTCCGGGTTCAAGGGATGGGTAAATATAAATTCATACAAACGGCTACGTATTTGGATAGTATAATTATATGTTTTCCAAGCATTGCTCCGTACATTTACTCGTTTATTACTGCAAGCAGCACACTGTACATTTTACAAAGCGATGAAAATAATGTAATCTATGTACAGATAATACCTGCAATGTTTTAATCCATTTGCAAAGTATTTTTCTAGGAAACTTAACTCCCGGTGCAGAGACCGAGAGGCTGAAATTAAAATGCCGATTTGTTGCTTAAATTATGAAATTAATTACTCGCCTCGAGAACATTAATAATTCCGCCAGATGTCGTGGCTACGCCATCACTGCAACGTCAGCATGACGGTGTCGAAACAAAATGTGATGACGGCGTTCATAATTATTGGCGCCTGTTGCAGAGTAAATGCGTTCGCGCACTTGAGCGTTGTGATCGGGAGGTTGGCAGGCTCCTTCCACCTGTCACCGTTCAAGCCACCTCGCCATGTCAGAATGCGGACGGCGATGGTCACTGAACGAGCCGCGAAGACGCACAGACCTTCAACACGCAAGGCAGGGGATCAGACTGTGAGGTAAAACTGATGTTGGATACTGTTACGTTAATGGCTATCTGGGCGACCTAAGCGACTACCTGCACATCGCGAGGGAGCGCCTGGTCCACATCAATGCTCCCACTAATTGTCACAGAGATCACTAACAGTTTGGCCTAACCTCGAAGGTAAGCCATTGCTTCCTGTGATGAGCAGCGACCAATGCACTACTCCTTAAGTCTTCGAAATGGTCGACCTCCGCCATGACCTTTCACTCGGCACATGTATCCACTATCCAGCGCGGCTCGTCAGTGTAAGTGTAAACGTCCATTCAGCTATCCGTGGACGTTTACACTTACACTGACGAGGAAACGGTCCGATACAACAAGCCGTCCGACATCGTCTTTTGACATTGCCTCATGTTGCGGAATTCAGGAGTCTCACACTGAAAACTTGTTTTGTCGATGTCTTGCGATCAAAAATCAAAATTAATGAAGCACTTGAACGATCACGTTGCCGTTGTTCTCCTGGAATCTGTGTCCTTGACTGGGTAGTGGTGGGTCGTCTCCAAGTCCTGTGACATGCAGCGGCTCCAGAATCATGGTTTGGGTCTATTGTGTGGTGCCGATGTGTGCCCGAATACGCTGCGCCGGTTTAGGAAATGTCCAAATCATCGTGCCGATTTCTGTAGGAGTTACCAGCTCGGTACTATGTATTCTGGCTGAGCAGGAGCTGTTCAGAAATGACATCCTTCGCAAGTTGTCTCCGGTCAAAATGCATGCGGGAATGGTGTCGCCGCGGCAGAGCCTTTGCACATCCGCTCACGACAGGACTACTACCGCTAACAGCGAACGCGCACATAACTATATGTGTACAAATTCGAAAACCATTCCAGGACAAATTCATATAAATCTATAATCACTTACCTCTATTTTCAGCAAATTTCTAATAATATTTTCAGTTTTGGTTAATTCAGAAGCAGTATGTAAAAACATGCAAAGAATACTAGTTGTGCTGCCAGCTTACGTATATTTCAAGAATAAGAAATTTAAAATAAATTTACATGAACTTGCTTTAATTTTTCAAAAACGTGTCGAAGTGTTAATTACCTTATGCGCGAAAATCGTACGTAAGGCAGGTACAGTAATCAAACTGTAAGCTACAATTACTTACTGCTTCGTTAATTCTGATTTTTGATCATTGACAAAACAACATTTCAATATTCCTTGTTCCACTTTTGGGTATTCCTGATAATTAACACGATTTACGAGTTGTGTACATACCGAATTTGTGCAGCTGCGTTTCCACGTTGTACAAGGTGAAATGGCAATGGTACGTGCGTACAGGCTCCTGAATCCAGATTTAGTACGGAGACAAGAATTAATATCCAGATAAAATGATATACATATACTCACTCGTACATTTGTGCAGGTAAATCCGCAAGATGGGGCTAACTGTCAGAGGCACTACCTTCAATCCTGCACTTCATAATTCCAGAATTCGTCTGGCATTTTAGACATACCAAACAGTATGCAAATCGAAAGTAAGACATTTCCCATCCTCGTAATCACAACCATTATATCGGTCACCAAGATGAGCAGGATAATTCGGTAACCCTTTCAAAAAAGCCAGAATTAGGGCAGTTGCATTAATAATCTGGGCAATCACGGGACGCGAGCGGAAGCACATGAACTCGCAAATCTGCGGAATAAAAAGGCCTGCAATTCTGACGAACACTGCACAAGACAACAAAGTACAAGTTTTCCTGCTGAGCGAGCGTCATAAAATTGATAAAAAGGGAAATTCTGCAGAATCTGGTAAAGAAAGGACGCTTTGGAATGCACTTACTAAGCCATAAATAACAGCATGTACGTCTGGTGAGCGGTGAATCAGCCCTTCTCATCTAGTTATGCTCCAGTACTCATATTTCCGGCTTGTGCATCGGGAAGCAGCATATTCGTTCACTTCGACCGGACGGTACCAAGCGAGTACGCTTCGTCGAACTTTGCTCTTTTGGTTATTGCGTGGTCAAGGACACATGCGACGCTATATTTCACAATTCAAGATCAACAAGTTTCCGCCGGAAACTCGCTGACCTTGAACCGTGAATCGGCCACTCGCTCGAACATTCCATCTTTCCAGATGTGTATAGAGCGCACGCAGGTGGCCAGTCTGGACTGATGGGTTGACGTCCGCATTCTCGAGGGAATACTTGAGTTACTCTACCTGTATTTCATACAAAAATACTATGTTTCGCAAGCATATTTGTCTATTATTGCAAGCAGCACACTGTGCACATTGAAAACCGAAAAAACACAGTCTGCCACGTACTATTCTCAAAATATTAATATTTTTAATCTGTGCTATTTGTATTAGTACTATTTATAAAAGCCTATTTCTACATATTTTAACATATTTAATTTTGAAATACGGTATATTTATACACTGGAGGGCTATTCAACTCCCGCTGCGGTGACCAAGCGGCTTTAAAATGAAAATGTAATTTAAATGCCGAATTTTCTGCTTAAGTTTTACAATGAAATACATACTTCAATAACACTGATAATTCCGCCAGTCGCCGTGGTCACGTCATCTGGGCAACGTCTGCAAGTGGGATGACGCCATCATGACGGCATCCATAGTTATTGGTGCTATGGTGTGAAGTAAATGCTCTCCCGCGCCGAAGCGGTGTGATCGGGAGGTTGGCAGGCGCGTCCGCGACCCTCCGATGACGGCGTTCGAGGTCCCTCCCGACGTCACGATGGGCACGGTGAGGGTCCTTGAGCAAATCACAAAGCTGCGCAAGCATTTCACACCTTAACTACAAACATAAAAGCATCCGTATTGTGAACTGGAACTTCCGGAAGTGTTACTCACCCGGGAACTTCACAGCTAGTAACGGAATGTTTGCCGTCTGCCTTTACGAGTAAGAGACGTCAACAAAGTAAAGATATCACGCGACAAGCCGACAGCGTAGTAAAGAGCAAAAATTTCAATACCATGATTTCCGGTTGCGGCGCCGCGATGTCCGCAACGTATGGACACCCTGTCGATATCGACTGCTCAAGGCATAGATGCCCGCCGCTTCCGGATTGCTTCCGACCACCACCGTCGCTGCCTACGCAGCCGGAGCCGTGAAGCACGCTTCCGGTTTCTAGCAGCAAATACCGGTGCAAGTAGTCGATTAAGCTCATTCCAACTGTAAAGATAATTATATCAGTTACGCAATCGTACTTACAAAAAACTAGAAAAGCGAGACAATGCGCTAACATGTTCTAACTCTTTGTAACTGCGAAAAGCGCACATCACGAGCGAGGGTAAACTTAACGCTACCTCGGCAGTTGCAGCTTATATTATACCGGTCTTTCTCCAAAAATTATACTTGCGCGTTGCATGACAAATCGTCTTTACATGGGCAAAAACGTGCATAGTAACAAGTAAAAAATGATCCCGGTAAATGATGCTGCGCATGCATGCTATGGAAGGCAGGTCAGATTAATAATGGCAAATTCCCGATGTAAAATCCACAGATTATCACAATTATTACAATATCCATATCGTGCACAATATGATCAGAATTATTGGGCATCCCATTTGTATTATTAGAAACCCGTTATTGGGCAAGATCGGATAAAAGGGCAGAATTTTAGACAGATTCCATACGGTGCTGAGGGTCGAACAGAGAGGATGAACTAGCGCTGATATGTACAGGCTCGTGAATCCAGATCTAATACGCAGGCAAGATGGGACAGACACCAGCTCCAGTATACTTCATAAGAATTCGTCTGATCACATTTTGTGCATACTAAACAGAAGCAGTATGCAAATCGGAAGCAGCGCGTGCATATCCTCGTATTTAGAACTGTTACATCCGCCGCCAAGATAAACGGGATAAATTGGTAATCCTTTCGAAAAGCCAAAAATTATTATAATTAGTTATTATTGCTTTTGTAATAATTGTAAAAAAATTATTATTGCAAACTGAAGCAATCGCTTTAATAATCTTGACGATCATGGGACGCGAGTGGAAGTACATGTACTCGTACATCTGCGGAATATAGATATAAAGGCCTGCAATTCTGATGAACACTGCACAAGGCACGTTTTCCTGCTGGCTACTGAGCGACTG